TCTTGCGCGGAAAACCGTGCGAGGACGCAAAAAGAAAGACCTCGAAGGCAATTGGAACGACGTAGAGAACACAACAATTTCTACTACAACACTGAATAACCCAGGTAAAAGGCATTACTGGTCCGAAATTCGGACTTCGCGCCCACAATCGGGCAAATAATCTTTTGGAATTTTGAAGCAAGAACGGGGGGCACCTCTTAACTGTAAAGCACAACCCATGATTCGAATTACCCTATTAAAGCGACACAAGGCTCCAAGGCTCGAACTATCATGAAACGCCATCAAAAACATATACTGGGAACAATCACTGGTTCGACAAAAATTCGGCACCGAACAAAGAAGACAAAATGCTGAAATGTCAATCGGGGGCGAGCAAGGTAATTCGAGGAAAAAGCGACGAAGAGCCTCAGTAGAGAAGGACCAACCATTCACATCCAAAAATGTGGCTCGCGTAAGGACTCCGAGACAACAGTAAGTAATGAAGCGACGACGATTTAACGAAGCGAACTCGAGTACAGTCGTGAAAAACAAGAGCACACATAGCATACACAGATCAACAGACAAAACTCAGGTCTGGACGTACGACACGAAACCCAGATCAATTCATTGCGAGAAACATCGAGAAAGTTGATTCAGTAAACGCCATTGATTCAGGAACAATTGTATTTGTTTGATGACAAAATACCAGCAGTATCTACAGCAGGTCAAGATCAACTAGCAGTACAAGAAGCAATTCGTCAGGAACAAGCAGCTCATGTTACTGCTACGACGGCACCAAAAGTGGAATCGCTCCATCCATTCAAGTATGAAACGCGCAAAATGACAACTAGATATGTACGGATTTTTCAAGCTGGGAAGAAGGACCACCCAGAAACGATGAAACAGAACAATGTGACAACTGACTCAAACGTCAGAACGAAAGGATGGAAAAATAGATTTTGGAAAAGGAAAAAGAGTAATCCATCCATCAAAAAACTTTAAAAATTCTTTCTTAATTAGGGGGACTGGAGTACCTCACTAGCCGAATAAAGTGACTCTGTCCTGTACTCTTGATGTTATTAGTCATGATATCTGACATGTCCTTGACGGTAGTCGCTAGAATAGTACAATTTATGTTATTTCATCTTACGTCTCAAGGCCAAACTTAACCAGTCACGTTCAAAGTGTAGTGTTCTTTCACTTCGAAAATGTTTTTGTTGTGCGACCTAGATTACGATTCGGTTGTATAAAATGTGTTTTTATAAATCCAGATTTTTTGATTTAATTTACTTTCGATTATTATATATCGCTACTGTATCCGACAAGGTAGCTGCTTGTTCCTGACGAATTGCTTCTCGTACTGCTAGTTGATCTTGACCTGCTGTATATACTGCTGGTATTTCGTCATCAAACAAATACAATTATTCCTGAATCAATGGAGTTTACTGAATCAATTTTCTCGATGTTTCTCGCAATGAATTGATCTGGGTTTCGTGTCGTACATCCAGACTTGAGTTTTGTCTGCTGATATGTGTATGCTATGTGTGCTCTTGTTTTTCACGACAGTACTTGAGGTCGTTTCGTTATATCGTCGTTGCTTCTGCCGATTGATCCATTACTTACTGTTGTCTCGGAGTCCTTACGCGAGCCACATTTTTGGATGTGAATGGTTGGTCCTTCTCTACTGAGGCTCTTCGTCGCTTTTTCCTCGGATTCCCTTTGCTCGCCCCCGATTGACGTTTCAGCATTTGGTCTTCTTTTTTTCGGTGCCGAATTTTTGTCGAACCAGTGATTATTCCCAGTATATGTTTTTGATGGCGTTTCATGATAGTTCGAGCCTTGTGTCGCATTAATAGTTTAATTCGAATCATGGGTTGTGATTTACAGTTAAGAGGTGCCCCTCGTTCCTGCTGCAAAATTCCAAATGATTATTTGCTCGATTGTGGGCGCGAAGTGCGAATTTCGGACCAGTAATGCCTTTTTACTTAGTTATTTAGTGTTGTAGTAGAATTTGTTGCGTTCTCTACGTCGTTCCAATTGCCTTCGAGGTCTCTCTTTTTGCGTCCTCGCACGGTTTTCCGCATAAGATTCAAATATGAAGGATCATCAATATCCGATGTCAGAACCACAAATGGCAGCTTATCCAGTTTTGTCTGGATTTGTTCGTTTCTCCACTTTTTTTCTTCTTTGATCCTGACATCTCTGCGTGTGTCTGTGTTACTTGGATCACTTCTCTAATAACATCACTTCTCTAATAACTACAGATGTGAATTCATACATATTGACGCATTTGTGAATGCATATAGGTATATTTGCATTTTTTGAGTTCAATTGAAATTCGTCTGCTGATTGTTACGTGAATAGCACTCTCAAAATACGAACGTGGAAATGACGCGAAAAAACGTTAATGATTTCTACTTTCGAAAGTGGAATTTGATTTTTAGATTTCCAGCGGAATTGAAACTTTACCTGTTAATCCAGGTTTCTCAAGTTGGCTTAATATTATCAGAAAAGCGCCCATCAAAAATTGTTCTAGAAATTCAAAAAGCATCTATTTTTTGCTTTGAAATTCGAAAGTTAAGATTTTTTGAACAAAGTGTTGTTTTTATGTTTACTTGCGTTCATTACTCTTTTCCAATCTGCCATTGGCTATGTTTTATTTCATTTACTGCATCAGGGTAGCTAGAAAGTTTTTCAGCCCAAATAGTAGCTACCCTTCGATAAATATATTACGATTAATCATAGACAAAAGATAATTTAGTATTAATCCGAAAAAATTGTCAACCAGCTGATATACATTTCAATTTTTACTAGTTGAAGTATATCACGATTTTATACGAACTAAAATTCCTTATACCATAAATCTAGGCTTAAAACGATAAAACAGATCATGCAATTTGAAAGTGATTGCGTAGTTCTCAGACTATTTTTTATGTCTTTCAGATACTCATCAACAGAGCCTGAGGAAGGCTGTAGGAAGTGCTTTGTTTACCAGAACTTCCTTCCGACTTCTCTTCATATTGTTGTCTATTTGCTTACTTTAGCCAGAAGCGTAGTGTTTACATTACGAACATTCGTTTTTTTTTTCTAACCTAATTCGTAGCATTGGAAAATTCAAATCATCTGGGCTCTGCATTATTTGTGGCTAGGGTTTGTGATTTATTAAGCGTCCGTGGCTGAACGCTTAGTGTGTGAGACTCAATCTCTGTGGCAGATCGATCAGATACAGAGCCGAGTTTTTACTAATTAGAGGCTTATTTCTAATTTTCTGATCGCTTTTTTTTGTATTCCAAGAGCTGCAATTTTTTTTCGTAAAACCCCAGTGCAGAGCAAACTGGTCAAAAAATCAAACAAATTCTAACAAGATAGCTATTCTGAAAATGCCATCTAGTGAACACTTCATTGCTCATCTAGAACCATCATATATATCTATATGCTTATATTTCATATTCAAGTTCTTCAGGTCAATCCATTTATTTGAACAAGTTTTGCTGTCTAAAAAAGATGCAATCAAATCTTACAAAAAATGCAAACAAAACAATTGCAACGCTTGCAAAAGATGGCTACTCTTAAGTTTTTGAAATGTCTATAATCTTACTTTATATTGCTTGGTAATTGAAAGCGTCACCACTGCAGCCTTAAAACAGAATCTTAGATTTTTTTTGTACTCAGCACTCAATAACAAAGATACCCAACTGTTACCAATTCGAAAACAGCTTTGAGTAGTAATTGTTGAAATTGCATTGCACCTTTTGCAATTTTTTTATAGTTAAACTTGTTGTTATCATTTCAAAAACTTAAGAGTAGCCATCTTTTGCAAGCGCTGCAATTATTTTGTTTGCATTTTTTGCAAGCTTTGATTGCATCTTTTTTAGACAGCAAAACTTGTTCAAATAAATGGATTGACCTGAAGAACTTATATATGAAATATATGCATATAGATATATATAATGGTTCTAGATGAGCAATGAAAAAGTGTTCATTATATGGCCTTTTCAGAATAGCTATCTTGTTAGGATTTGTTTGATTTTTTGACCAGTTTAATCTGCACTAGGGTTTTACGAAAAAAATCGCAACGCTTGGAATACAATAAAAAGCGATTAGAAAATTAGAAATAAGTCTCTAATTAGTAAAAATTCGGCTGTGTATCTGATCGATCTGCGACAGAGATTGAGTCTCACACACTAAGCGTTCAGCCACGGACGCTTAATAAATCACAAACCCTAGCCACAAATAATGCAGAGCCCAGATGCTTTGAATTTTCCAATGCTACGAATTAGGTTAGAAAAAAAACGAATGTTCGCACTAAAACACTACGCTTCTGGCTAAAGTAAGCAAATAGACAACAATATGAAGAGAAGTCGGAAGGAAGTTCTGGTAAACAAAGCTTTTCCTACAGCCTTCCTCAGGCTGTTGATGAGTATCTGAAAGTCATGTAAAATAGTCTGCGAACTACGCAATCACTTTCAAATTGCATGATTTGTTTTATCGTTTTAAGCCTAGAGCTATGGTATAAGGAATTTTAGTTCGTGTAAAATCGTGATATACTTCAACTAGTAAAAATTGAAATGTATATCAGCTGGTTGAAAATTTTTTCGGATTAATACTAAATTATCTTTTGTCTATGCTGAATCGTAATAAATTTATCCGAGGGTAGCTACTATTTGCGCTGAAAAACCTTCTAGCTACCCTGATGCAGAAAATGAAATAAAACATAGCCAATGGCAGATTGGAAAAGAGTAATGAACGCAAGTAAACATAAAAACAACACTTTGTTGAAAAAACCTTAACTTTCGAAATTCAAAGCAAAAAATAGATGCCTTTTGAGCTTTTTGAATTTCTAGAACGATTTATGTTGGGCGCTTTTCTGATAATATTAAGCCACCAAGATCTATATAAGTCTTCGATACGTTCATTAATCTTGAAAACCTGCTGCTTTGCTTTTTTGACTCTATCGAACGAATTGAGTTTTTTCCTACGAACAGCCAAATGCACACATACCGATACCGCATAATAATACATTAGAATTAGAACTTGAATTAAATTATGCAAGAATCTCTTTCACCTCATCAGCAGTCAGTTTATACTTTTCCAATAGTTTTTCACTCAATTTCAAGTGTTTTTCTGAGTGTTCCTTCATAATTTTCTTAGCTTCTTTCTCCGCCGTGTCCAAAATTTCTTTCACTTCTTTTTCAATCATCACCTGGTACTTGTCGCTGATTGGCCCGTTCTCTGCACATGGGTAGAATCGTTCGCCGAAACCATACTTGGTGACATATTTAGTGGCTGTTGCCCGCGCAACCTGGTAGTCAGAACTACATCCAGTGGTGTGTTTCAGCTTTCCCTCACCGACCAGAGCATCTTCGCCCAGTTTTCCAGCCAGTGCTACTGCGATTCTGCCAGCAATGAATTTTCTAGTTGGGAAGTCTTCGCTTATGTCGTGCCTCATGTGACCCAATGTGTTAGAACGTCTTTCAATAGTAACCCTGAAATAAATGAACAGCCGAATAGTTTTCGCAACGCAATATCGCGAGCAAAACATAATGACGGCGAAAAGGCACGAAAACCAGCTCATCGCTATTTTCCCACAAAAAAAAATTCGTAAAAAAAGTTTTTTTTTCTGGGAATGCCGAATACAAAACACAACCGGGTTTAAAAAGTTCCACGCAACCGGGCTTTTTTCATTAACGCTTACTGACACCGGCCATTAGAGAATTTTTTTTCACTAGAGAAGCCCAACGAAAGAACCTGGCTTCCTTAACACAAAAACAAAATGACTTTTACTATTGATATTCACAAAATGTGTCAATTTCAAGAAAGTGACATATTTGAATAATCATTTTGGTATTAAAAAAACTTATTTAGAACTCTCAGAGAACTCCACATTTAACAAGGGGTGCGAAAGAAAAAAATCCATATTTTCAGCTTCTCAATTTTGAGCTTTTTCGATCACTTGTTTTACCCGTAGTATGGAATTTTGAGATGATGAGCAACTAAAGTGTGTGCCGCCTCGTGGTACGCAGTATTCCTTAGTTCCTCCATGTCTTCCGGATCGCCCTTTTTGTTTTTCTCCCTTCCCAATTCCGTCTTCATCCTCGCCCAGTCCAAGTGCTTCATTTCAACTGTCGAATCACCATCATTGGCTGCTTTCAAAGCCGCCTGAGGTCAGGATGGTCAGGATTTTGACATATCCAATTATATTTCTGTGACCAAACTAATTTTTTGCCAAAAAGCTTTCGATTTAATTTTTAAAATAATAATTTAAACGAACAGTTCTAGGAAAAACCAAATTTAGAATTGTAAAAATTAGAAGAGCATTTTCAACAAACAAATGATACTTACTGCACCACAAATTAGAGCATTCTGACCAGTTTTTCGAACTGAGATTTTTTTGTCGATAGCCTTATCAAATTCATAGAATTGAAGATCGCCAATTGATATTAAAAATAGCCAAAGCCCAAACATTTGGTGAATTGAAGTCGATATAATTTTCAAAAACAATTATTTAAAAACAAACATTTCTTGAATAGAAAAGCCAACTTTAAATGAGAAACACGAGAAATTAATGAACTTTTCTCCACAGTTTTTACTAATTTTTCATATTGAAACAATAGGCTACTTTGATTCCAAATTATGCCAAAATCCTGCCTGATTTATTAAGTTTTCAATTGCCGCACCCGAATAACCAATTAGATTTGTAGCAAACTTTGTATGGAGTACAAGTATGAGAGATGCGTCCACTTAACTAAAAAATTTAACTAGAAGATGCATGCGTGGTAACATAAACCTAATTAAATGAAAAAAAAACTAACAATTGAGATGACAAAAAAACGCTACTTGTATCTAGATGAAGACCTGAATATTGCAACTGCCCTTTAACCAATCCAATTAGTTTATGGTATGAAATTTTTCCTTCTATGGAAATCCTCCCCAACAGAAGATATCGATAGCAATAATGCAGAGCCTAAGTCGAATATTTGTACTAGATTGCTGCAGGAAAAATTCTACATTTGTAGGTCATCTCAACCCCTCAGACAAAGACATGTAATGAGTGATACAATTTGCATATTTGTTGTTTTTTAGAATACTAGAACAAAAAACTGTTTATCAAAGTCAACTAATTACAAATTCTGGGGACCCATCTATCATACATGTACCTTTGTGACATCTAGCTTCCCGTCTGTCTTGACTCGTTTGATGTAATGTTGGACAAGCTTGATACGACCATCGGCGTCCGGCAACGACAATACTATCTTATTGTCAAATCGACCTGCTCTTGTCAGCGCAGGGTCCAGTACTTTACCCAAGTTTGTCGCTCCGATAACAATGATCCCATTATTTTCCTTTATTCAGGTTGACCACAAATAGCTTGGAAAAAAACACTTTGAAGTTCGAGCCAATAAAAAAAATAAAATACCAGGTGTTTTTGTTGCTGTAACGCCCTCGTAAGCAGCGCGAAAAAATGAAATTAGGCACGAAAATATTTTCTGTGAAGTTAATTTACCTGATTTTCTCCGCTTTTAACGAGAAAAAAAAACATATGAAAGACGAAAGTAACTATGCGTGAGGTCAAAAATGGACAAACCTCTTTTGAAAATTCAGAGCTCAGCCGCTTATGCCAGCATACTTCAATTTTCAAAACCTATTGTAACTCCTGTATAAATCAACCCAGCCAGTGATTACTGATAATTTTCCTAAACAGTTTTTCAATGGCTAATTTCAATTAGTCCACAGAAATACCAGGAAATATTCAGTCAACTTTGAACTTCGGGCTATTGCAATTCATTAGTTATTGGTTTTGCCCTATATGAAGAGAAAATCAAGTTATCTGATGTCCCAGAAAATATAATTACATACATAACTATAATTTGTTTGCTGTTTGCATTTGTTCAACTTTTACACGTATTTATGTAAAAGTTTGTGATAAAACCGCACAAAAATTACCAACACTCGATAATGATTATGTGGTCAACCTCCCTTAAATCCATCCATTTCGGCTAAAAATTGATTAATGGTTTGTCTTGAACTGCCTTGAGAGTTGCGATCTCCGCCAACAGCGTCAATTTCATCCACAAAAATAACACATGGCGCCGTTTTGCGAGCAGTTGCGAAAAGTTCTTTCATGCGACTCGCGCCCACTCCGACGAATATCTCGTCGAATGAGGATCCCGACCGGTAGTAGAAGGGAACTCCCGCTTCGGTTGCGACTGCACGCGCCATCATAGTCTTCCCAACACCTGTCACAAAAACAGATAAATTTTACTCACAGCTGCCCAACTATCAGCCCAGCCCCCCCCCCCCCTGATACTTGATTATTATGGGACAACCCATAAAAACGACCACCTGATTTTAGAGAAAGAGCAGTCGGACTGTACACAAATTACAAAAAAGGTATAAACTTTGCTCTAAAGTCAAGTAAAATGCGCAATTTTAACCCATATTTTATGACTACATTGCCTTTGGAAAGTTTCCGAGCATCTTTTTTACGCATCTTATCTATGTCACCAAAAGGCTATCGAAATAAAACTTTAAACTAAGAACTTAATTGTTTGAAATAAAATTTAATTGTTTGAATAACTTCAGTTAGCGATACTAGCCTGGGGGTCCCATGAGAAGAACACCCTTGGGCACTTTTCCCCCCAATGCCGCCAGCTGTCTTGGCTTCTTCAAGTAGAACACGATGTCTTGCAACTCCTCCTTCGCCTCGTCGCAGCCAACTATGTCTGCAAAACGCACTGGCTTGAAGTCCTCACTGCCCTTGGCTCCCTTCAGACGACCACGCATATTTCCGGTCGATTTTGCTGAAAACTGTAAGCTTTTTTAAACCGTTTTTCATACTAATTGTAAGTAAGTAAGCACACTTTGTAAGTAAATAAGCACATATACTATTTATACTAAGTAAGTAAGCACACTGATTTTTCTCTCGAGGGAACAAAAAATTTAGGGCATCACTTGAGATAAACTTATGCAGTGCACCAATTTTAACATTTGTTTTAAATAAATCCCTCTGATTATTTTCTAAGACCTAGAAACAAACAAAATTTCTAGTTCTAGAAAGACGAAAGACGCAGTCTCAAGTAATTGCCACATTAATTGCATGACTGTGCCAAATAACCTAAGTAATAGCAAAAATGACCCCTGCTCGTTTCTTGAGGGTGAGGCAACATTACACAGCCCAGAAATCAAAGTTTTTAACTAGGGGCACAACAGCTGTTTTCAGTAAAAAGCTAAACAGCAAGTATCTTGGAACTTTAGATGATAAAAAATGATCTGACATCAACTTTGACAGATCCAAAATGTCGTTCTTACCAGCGGGATCCAGACTTCCATTTGCAGCAGCACTCAGCCACGAGTTCTTATCTGAGTCCTGCCACGTGTAGAGCTTATACGACAGCCAGAAGCCGCAACCGGCAAAGGTGAGAATGACAATTTTACGGAAGATAAACACCATCTGGTTGCCTCCTTCCACCAGTTTACCCAAAGTAGCTCCAAAGCCTTTGCCTCCTGCACCCAGTTATGTCCAGTTTAAATTCTGGCACCTTGGTTTTGTTCGTAACTTTTTTGTATGATCTTTAGTATTAATGCCTAACCATTCAGCGACCGCTTTCAGCGCACTCGGGCTTCATTCATATTATTATTATTCATGTTCACACCAAACACCGTTTATTAAGAATAAAAATGACCCCGAATTTAAAATTCATTATGAAAAACCTTCCGAAAATCATCGCAAAATAATGCGTTGAGAAATTGTGACCAGCGGAGCAGAATATTTTGGCAAACAAGTTGAGAAAATATACGTTCAAATTCTACAAAATTTTTGAAAATCCCAGTAGCTGGAAAATTTTGTGTGGTTTCTGTATTGAAGCATAGCCCGTATTTACCCACATTCCAGGCAACTCTTTTGCAGGGTGAAACTTTTTTCGACTGAAGGTTTTTTTGGATCTAGAACTTTCACGTGATACCACTATTGCAGCCGAAATTGTTAGGGTCATTATAGACCTAAAGCTAGAGTTCAAAAGAGAGCTCGTCCTCGCTCAATATTATTGCTATGGCAGGCGTCAAACAATCGATCTGACGTTCTCAAAGTGACCGATTTCCATCATGCTAAGTGTTATGAATGTGAATCCGGTCAACAACCCGGAAACCAATACCACAGATTGCGTTGGTAACCCCCAAACTACAGATGGACAACTTGTGAGTATCTTGTCTAAAGATGTTAGTCAATTACAAAACTGGTGAAGGAACAGGAAAAAAAACAATGAAAATTTGCAAACAAGGCAAATTAAATTAAATTGCTGTATAGAGTTAGGGCCCAAGATCAGTATACATCAAAAGATAGTATTCTATTCTGGGACCCTCTCTTCAAAGCTCGGATGGTAAATGATGTTGTTGGGGAAACAGTGAAAAATTTCCACAATTATTTGAAACATGATTTGGGGTACAAACGTATTAAGGAATGCCACATATTCAACGGGGAGTATTGAGGAAATACGCCTTCTGTCATTTTCCTGTTCTTATACTTTGAGGCAAACAACGTTCTACCGAGCGCCTAAGCTTCTGAAAACGCAGAAGAAATACCAAAACAGTCGATTTAAAACAGAGGCGAGAACACAAAAAGCAAACTCTAGCGAGAACACAAAAAGCAAAGCAGGTCTATAGTGCACTAAGAAAAATTAGAAATAAGCCTCGAATTAGCAATAACTCGGCTATGCAATAACTTGGAGATTCGAACATGCGAGCTAGAGATTAAGAGTCTCGCACGCTAACCACTCAGCCACGGAAGCTTATCAAATACCAAACACTAGTCACAAATAAAGCAGAGAACAGATGCTATGCAATTTCCAATGCTACAGTAAAATTTCCAAATATTTCTTTTATTTGCGAGTTAGGTTAGAAAAAGAAGTATCGTAATAATACACTACGCTCATCGCAAGTGTAAATATATAAAATAACGTCTTCCAGAAGAAATTCGAATGGAGATTAAAAAATTAGCACAAAACTTGCGCATGATCACCAGCTCGCATAACTACGTGGAGCAGTTAATAGTACACGACCTGTCAAAAACTACTGGAACAGAACTTGTGAATGTACACGATGTAAAGAAATTGGCTCAATTAGAAGCAATCGAACGATAAAATTAGTAATGATAAAATGCATTACTAACTCTTACTTCTGTTAAACCCTGCATAAGGTCGAGTAACGTTCTCGCATTCATTTTCATTTTTTCGAATTTTTACCATAAATGTACTGGACCTTACGGATACGTAAGGCCATGTTTTTAATTACTTAAATTTCAAGTAGATTTCATATTATAGCAAAAAAATATCAGCGATTTCCGAGGGAAAAATAATCAATGATAGAAACGAAAGGGAAGGGGACAACCGCCCAAAATATCTCCACAGAAACTCTCCACGGAAAAATTAATTGAATCAGAAAAAAGTGGAAAAAACGAAAACATTTTGAACAAATGAATCAAATAACCTGCTTAATCTTTATTCAAGACTTTCAAGAAAAATACATCTTGGATATTAAGGCAGTTCCAGATTTCTTTAAGGTTTGAACATACAACGCGGTAAAATTATGTAGCTAAATTGTTACTTTTTCTAGGCATCTTTTTCTTTCGATATCTGTAATTCGATCAGAAAATTTAACGTTCGAGCAGGTACATATCTTACTGTGCGTGCGTAACGCTAGATTCACTTTTTTCTGCACTCGGCCTTTGAAAACAGACCTTCAGTTCTAATCGAGTGCTCCCCAATCTGTTGTCAGTCAATAATTTTGCTTGTTTTTGTTTCAGATAAAATACCATTATACATATAATAACAATTTATTAAAATTATTAATGTCTCCAAAAATTCTTTTAGATCTGCGCCAAATTACTTTGACTAGATATTAAACTGGACATCATTGCCTGCTGGTTCAGTTTGAAGACTAGCTCCCAGCATGGCCCCATGGTTAAAAGCAGTCTTGGCCGCCGACTTCTCCGACTTGAGAATCTTGCGTAGTTGCGACAACAATTCAGCATCACTCTTTTTATCATCGGCATCTCGGCGATTAAATATTTTAGAAATAGATGAATTTTTTTGAGATGACTCGGCTTTAATTCGTTCTATTTGCTGCTTCGTGTAGAAATATCGACAGCCACTTGCTGCAGCACAACTGAATTTTAAATTATTCTTGCTCAGCATTTCCGGCGATGAGCCAGTTAATGTTATTCGACCACACAAAACACTTCTGACAGGCATATTAGAATTTAATTTTAGATTTTTCAGATATGATTTCGGTAACTTTGCTCGGAGTCTCACGGTATTTTATAGAGCTGACTATTACCACGTGAGCAAAAATATTAACTCGATCCAGACCGACAATTTGAATGCGGAACCATTAAATCTGAAACGATAAGTAAGACTTTGTAAGCAGTACGTTTAAAAAATTATCAAGCTAGCCGAAAATAACGACAAAATAACTAACTAATTCAATTACTGTGTACTAAACTTCCAAATATTTAGATAAAACAAAATAATTTGTTCAATTCATCCAACAGAGAAAATGCAATTCATATCTAAATGGAAACCTTGCTAAATATTAAAACTAATTATCATTAACTATATTATCTGTACAGATACAACTGCTTTCCGTTATAAGTGTTTGTTGCTTCAACTGGCAATGATCAACTATGGCCGAAATCCGTCGTCCATACATTTCGTGGCCACAATCTCTGGAGAGTCCCAGCACATCGGACAAACTTTGTTCCGAACCGCACTGCTTCTTAAACACATCAATAGGGTTACAGTAATTAAAAATATGAAAACACCGGACTTCTGCATTTGTTTGAAACATCCAAAAAAAAAAACGCTCTGATCAAGAACATACCTGAGCCATAACACGAGGTTTGTTCTGATTCCCTGTTCGATGGGGGTGACGTAGTGCTTCAGCTGGCCCAGATGCAGAATGCCCATTCCCACCTCGTGCTCCAAGTGGATTCTCTCCCTGTCACAGTCCTCGTCCTGAAAACAAAGCAGATGTATCGATCGTAACTTAAAAAAGTCACCATTTGAGTTTTTTTTAGATTTAACCATTTAAAAAATCGCAGGTGTAACCATGCTCGCAATTATTTTAATTTCGTTTGATAGGTCCTCTGCGAATCGCAGAGGTCTTATCAAACCATGTTCAAATATATCCATCAGTTATTCTACACATTCCACAATGAATTATTTAATTAAACGAAGCTTTTTTTTGCGACTCGATGCCATTTTCTAACCCTAGAATTTTTTCGCGGTACCACTATTCCACCTAAAATCGGTTAGGCTGTGGTAGACTTGAAGCTATGACGGAGGATTTATTACACATTGAAAAAAAATTATTTGATCTCGTATTTCTAGTTGAAGCAGACCATTCGATTTGGTCTTAAGACGTTCTCTCTGGCATATAGTTGTTGCTAATAACGTAAGCTAGTCTACAAAATTATGAGCCTGAAAACAATTTATTACACGGACTTCGCAAACACTTGTGAGAACACGACCAAAAAGCTGCTGTATCAAGTGACATAAGAAGTAGAAATAAGCCTCGAATTAGCAAAAACTAGGCTACGTGTCGGATTCGAGTCTGCGACCTATCAAAATTGAAGCACTAACCACGGATGCTTAAAATCCCCAAAAACTAGTCACCAATAAAGCAGCTACACATGCTAATAAATTGCCAATTCGATGCAGCAAAATTAGCACCAAATACAAAAAGACACAATTTAATGTAATAAATCGCAAAACAGAAAGCCATAAAGCACATTATGTATAACATATGCATTTCACAAATTGCGAGATATATTGAGTTAGAAATTTCAGAAATGAATTTTTATTATTGTAGTTGATTGGAACAAATAGCTTTTTTCGCTTCATTTGACGAATTGAAAATGCATCAACTTTGTAAACTTAGTAGTATTCGAATATCAAAGCACATGCTATCAATATGCTGTAAAAAGGTGCCCCAAAAGTGGCACCAAAATTTGCGACTTGGGTTAGAAAATAAAGAAAGTTCTTACTAATACACTTTGCTTCGGAAGTGTAATTAATATTATTATTAATTTCTCGTGTAAAAAAATAAGGCTTCAAAGTTGAGAGGTAAATGCAGCCTTAAATGATATTTCTGGTTTGATATTATTGAAGTAGCTATCGAAAAAACAGAGCTAGGAACATATTGTCTCATTTTAGAAATCATACTAATTGTCATCTTAATTTTGATTAAAAAAAGAACCATAAAAAAGCCAAGACCTATAAAAAATCGAAATTTTCATCTCCAATTTTCAGATTTTTTAAATAGACCATTTAGCTATACCGGACAATCCCCCTCACTGGAAAAAGGAGTACTAGGTGTCCCGTAGGTTACGTAAAAATCAAAATGCAAAATTTCATATTTCTCAGAAAAAGACATCAGATAGTTTGAAGTGTTACAAAATTTTTAACCTTACGAAGAAAAAATATATCGAATTGATCTCTTTGAACTCCAAGAACTGGTCATGAGTGCCACTTTTTTGTCAAAAGTATGCCATTTTGAGAAAACTGGATCAGTCGGTATTTCTTGTAACTTCACTAGGAACTCAGTGAACCGAACTTAAAAAATCAAAAGTCAAACCGCGAAAAACCAAATTTGAGCTTGATCGAACTTCAAAATTTTTTCTAGAAAAAAATATACATACATCATCACGCCATATAATATACTATTTGAAATCGCACACCGAGTTGCATTTGATGAATATAGCTAACAGAGAGTTGAAAAAATGACAATGAACAAGGAGACCAAAAAAAATTCAAAAAATTTTCAAAGAAAAACATACAAAACTCTAAGAAATTGAATATATATAAAAACTTTAAGCTCATACAATTTCAACAATCTTTTATGATTCAATCTTTTTTGATAAAACTCACGCAAGTTGAGTAGTAGATTCAAAAATGGTGGACTTAATTAAGCCAACATTCAGGCCAAGTACTGCTGCAGTTGGACGTCTAATTTTGGTTGCCGTAAATGTTCAAAAGACAATAAAAGCCACGGCTCAGCACCAAAACTTATGAAAAATTGATGATTCAGGAAGCAAAATATTGATTTTAAGTTGAACGAGGATTTTTTAATTTTAGCGATAGCGACTACATATAGCGGTAGCGTAGCGCGCAAAAAAAATTATGCGAATAGCGCTTCAGCGAATTTCTCATTACCGATCAAAACTCTGAACACAATCTATAAAAACGACCTCACTACGATTATGGCCCCTTGGAAGAAATGGATTTTTATATCTAGGGTTGGCGATTTTAAGTAGTGGCCAACAGAGAAGGGGAGAGATTGTCCAGTAAACCCGAGTATTCAATTACCCTCGCTGATGACAAAGGTCAATCAACTTACATTGGCCATGCCCATGAACACCAGATTGGATCCCTGGACCTGGTCTGCCTGCATGCATACATTGAGAGTGACCTCTGCGTTGTCGTAGTGTTTGCCCAGCTGTTTGTCCCCACTTCCGTCAAACACTGTCCCGTCGAAACTGTACTTCACTGTGAAGCCCCTATGCGACTCACATTCACCTGCAGTACTAGTAAGTCAATCTAGGGAAACACTAATGAAAGCGAAGCTAGGTTATGATCAACTTTAATTGGGTCAGTTTATAAAACGGTCTGACCAGGTAAAACGATCAGAGTACAATATTTATTGTTCTGAATTTAAGAGAAAGTCAGGAATGTATATGCTAGGGGTGATTTTTTTATTCAGACCAATTTCCGAAAGAAATTTGTAGAGGGGTAATCGAAAACACTCAAACTTGAATACAAAAAGGTGTTAAGTAATTTATACGAGGTGTAGTTTAACCTATGGTGTCAGAGAAGACTGTGTCCACTATGGGCTGCAGATACTCTTCTCTCAGCACTGTCAGCATCTCATCCATGCCCAACTCCTTCATTAACACCTGCAAACACATAACAATTGACAATTCCCAACATATTCCAGCAAGCCATTCACAAATTGCTATTTGCTTGGCAAAACATATTTTTTACATTTCAAGCTAACTAAGGTTAAAATGGGCCTGAAGTCAAAGAAACAGTGCACTGCAGAGGTACGACGTTTTGAATTTTTATTTTTAGTATATCCGTGATAGGCAAGTGATAAGCGAAAAGTTATTTTAAAAACTTTTCTAGATATGCGTGGATTTTTAAAGTAAGTAGTCCACTGGCAAATTGCAATAAAATCAGACAATTTGAACAAACATTTGTCTATTAATTTTCACATGCGTGGCAGGGAGACGAAAAAAGTAATACTTATTAGCATTAAAATTAAATTTTGATTGGTATTTTGCTACTAACGCCGTTGTGGTTCATAGAGTTCGGTCTTCCCAGAACGATCCCATCATAGTTTGAAATGTGATTAATTTCCTCCAAGAACAAATTAATGAAATCTTTCGTGAACACTCGAAAGGTGAACACTTTCACTTCTTCGTTCGGATATCGAGTCGCGTCGATCAAATCTCTATCGCCCTTTTTACATGCGGCCACCAGAGATTTGAACGAATTTTCCAGGAAACATTCCTATAAAAACACAACTGTTGATTTCGACCAAAAATATTTCTCAATTAACAATTTCGAAGAACGTGCATCGAACGTATAAATATTCTTGTGAAGTGGTTTGTATAGCTTTCTGATGTGTTGCAGTCTTTCATAGGCCTTTGAATCCTCTTGCTTCTTACTGTCTTGCAAGGCTCTAAAACAATTTTAATACAAAATTTTCAAGGAGCTACATCGAAACTTTGATTATCGCTTTCAATAAGATCTCTGACTTGATTACCTATACTTCCTGATATCTTCGATTTTGCTATTTTTCAAAGTTAATTTAATTTGATATGATGGTATGGTCAAGGTTTCAAATATTAGTTGAAGGCTGGAATGATCAATTTTGAACTCACCCTCAATTTTGATTGTTAATGAGTAAATCGCTGGTTTTTATTTTTTCACTTGGATTGCAAAAAATTGCTGCTCACTTGATTTGTTGTGAGATCTCATTAATTTCGTCGTTGTTGTACTTCTCTGAAAGCATCTGAAACGAAAAGTTGGGTCAATTTTTTTGAAGATTTTGATTTTTTTCCCGAGTAGTCTCAAATTCAAACAAGGGTAGCCGGCAGCTGTACAAATTACCAGCAGGATGCGACTTCATTAACCTAAGCGAAGCATCAATCAAAACATAGCCAACAGACAGTTGGACAACAGTCAATCAACGCAAGGAAACAAAAAAAAACACTCTTTTTGAAATAACTTCAACTTTCGAAATTCTAACTAAAATCATAGCCAACTAAGTTGGAAACGAGTAATAAACGGAAGGAAATAGAACAAATAAACTGACTCGTTTTTTGAAAAAAACTTCAACTTTTGAGCTTTTTTGATAAAATTAACCCAATTTGAGAAAACTGAATCAGTAGATTAAATTTGTTATTTCGCTGGGAAATACGATTTATTTCAATTTTCGAAATCAGAAGTCGATCACGTAGCGTGAAGGAGTTGAGCGCGAAAAATTAAAATTGAGCGTGAACCACTTGCGATACAAAACAAGAACACTGCTAAGTCGAAAAAAATTTCGAAAACCTCGAAAAAAATTGATCTATTCAAAAGAATAGGGCTACTTTTGAAACAAAAAAGCAAGCCAAGACAAAATAATGTAAAATTCGCATCGAAAGAAAATTTACCGAGCGGTAACCAAGCCGAAAATACCCTAGAGGAAACCCTTTAAGCTGGAAAAAAAACCCTCACCCTTAAAACACACATACACACGCACAAAAAAAAACTTTTTCGCTCCTCGAACGACGCCATATGATGCCTCTAAGACAATGCAATATAGGCCGAATCTTATTAAACCGGAAAAAAGAATAAAAAAGAAAATTCAAACATTTTTAGGACTTCGCCCTCAAAACACACACATACACAAACTTCTTTGCTCGCCGAAAGACGCAATATGTGGCCACTAAGCTGATATAATAAAAGCCGAAACTAATAAAGCTGGAAAAAACAAAAAAAAATTATGAAGTCCTCCTCACCCAAAAAAAAACACATACCATCACAAACGTTTCGTTCCTCCTCGAACGACGCAATAGAAGCAATAAAAGAAGGAAATCACTGAAAAATTAAGCTGAAAAAATTACTTGAAATAGTCGAAAAAGCAACAATTGAAAAACAATATATTTTTGTCTCGAATGATGCTCATGAGCAGGCCTAGCAAGCATTGAGAATCAATGACCGAGTTGCAACTAAGGCGACAAAAATCGGGAACACCATCATTAAGCCGAAAACGTAGTCAGAATTTTCTTTTACAAACCATCCCGCCCAAAACACGTAAAAGCATTTTATCATACCCCTTGAATCTACGCAATATAAGTTGACTAAGCCGATATAGCCTTATCTGACTGATTAACCAACAAATAAATAAAACTATTCAAAATCAGAGTTGGTAATTTTATTCGCTACAGAACAATTTTCAATTATAGTAAACACCGTTTGAATGAAAAAAAAACTCAAGCACTGGAAAGAAACTAATTGAAAAGTGTAGCACAAATCTAAATGTCATTTGGAAAAAAGACAATCAGCCGAAAGAACTTAGGATTAAAACCCCAATCTGACCATTTTTCCATTTAATATATTTGAAAAATTAATTTCCATCTAAAATGGTCTAAGAAGTAGTTTTAATTGAATTTTATAACATAGGCGCTACGCGCAATACACCGAAGGCATAGAAACTGAAGCAAAAACCAAACAACTTGAACAACTAATAATTGAAGAATAACAGTTCTAGAACAAAAAATCGTACTAATACATGTATACACCAAAATTTTGCTATATCGAGAAAGAGCCTGAAATAACAGTTCTAGAACTAAAAATCGTACTAACACATGTATAGGTTAAATTTTTGATATATCAACGAAGATCATAAAATAACACTTCTAGAACTAAAAATCGTACTAACACATGTATACATCAAAATTTTACTATATTGACAAAGAGCCTGAAATAACAGTTCGTGAGCTAAAAATCGTACGAACACATGTATACACCAAAATTTTGCTATATTGGCAAAGATCATGAAATAACAGTTCGAGAGCTAAAAATCGTACTAACACATGTATACGTCAAATTTTTGCTATATTGACAAAGATCATGGAATAACAGTTCTAGAGCTAAAAATGGTACTAACACATGTATACACCAAAATTTTGCTATATTGACAAAGATCATGGAATAACAGTTCGAGAACTAAAAATGGTACTAACACATGTATACAATAAAATTTTGATATATTGACAAAGATCATGAAATAACAGTTCGAGAACTAAAAATCGTAATAACACATGTATACACTAAAATTTTGATATATTGACATAGATCATAAAATAACAGTTCGAGAACTAAAAATGGTACTAACACATGTATACGCTAAAATATTGCTATATTGACGAAGAGCCTGAAATAACAATTCTAGAGCTAAAATCGTACTAACACATGTATACACCAATATTTTGCTATATCGACAAAGAGCCTGAATAAACGTTGTAGAACTAAAAATCTTACTAACACATATATACACCAAAATTTTGCTATATTGACAAAGAGCCTGAAATATTGACAAAGGACCTGAAATAACAATCGTAGAACTAAATGTCGTACTTACGCATTGTAGATCAATTTCTATAGCTATAATAAAATACAAAAGATTGTGTTTGTATGTGTAGCAAAACGCCTCCTGTTTTACACCTAATACAAGTATACACAGACCAGTTAATTGAAACTACAGTGTACCTATTACAAGTATACACAGATCAGTTAAACTAAAGAAACTGTGTACCTAATACAAGTATACACGATCAGTTGATTGAAACTACAGTGTACCTAATACAAGTATACACAGCAGTTGAAATAGAAAAACTGTGTACCTAATACAAGTATACACAGACCAGTTGATTGAAACTACAGTGTACCTAATACAAGTATACACAGCAGTTGAAAAAAAACTGTGTACCTAATACAAGTATACACAGACCAGTTGATTGAAACTACAGTGTACCTAATACAAGTATACACAGCAGTTGAAATAGAAAAACTGTGTACCTAATACAAGTATACACAGATCAGTTGATTGAAACTACAGTGTACCTAATACAAATATACACAGCAGTTGAAAAAAATAGAAACAGTAATTGACAGTAGTACCTCGGAAGCATCGTGCTGATGTCCATAGGTATATGAGAAGCTGTAATTCAAATCAAGATGCTGGAGAATTTTAACTTTGGAAGTAGACGCATTGATGAAAAAGTTTTCTGTGGACAGCATTTGACAAAATATCTCTTTCACAGTTGAAATTAACACGCCACCATGGTCAAATTCAGTAAGTCTACTGAGCCGATCTCTGATGCAAGCGCTTGACAACAAAAGCTGAAGAACAGAATTGAGATAGCAACTGTTGTCATCATTTGCAATGCCCGTGGGTCGAAATGGCTCCATTACATGACTGAAAATAGAAGTAACATAAAATTTAACATTTTGCTTTACGTTATTGAGTCCACGCTCCAACAAATTCTTTTTTGAGAAATACAAAAGCAAATTTGAAAATTAATTACCGGACAGATATAACTATAGATAAATCTTTAAAATAAATAATTTAAAATCATTTTTGATGTAGCTGCAACCCAAAAGCAAGTGGACAAATCTCGTTGGCAGCGTTCCCTGTAAATCGTTGTACGCTAATTGGTGATATACAGATCTTTCTGAAAATATCCTAAACAGAACAATAAATTGAAAATCATTTTTTGCTTTTAACTACATAGCTAAGAAGTAAAACATCAAATTTCACAATCAAACAACAAAGACGCTAACTAAATAAATAAATAAATGAACGAACAAACCAACAAATGAACGAACAAACCAAAAATAAATAAACATAAATAAATAAATGAATAAATAAATACATACATGAATAATAAATAAAAGCAAAACTAAATGAAAGAAAATAATTAAATAAATATAGCAATAAATATCAACGAATAAACAAAACACACCTGATAAATAAATAAACAATGAAAAAATAAATCAATACATAAATAAATAAATACATACAAAAATAAATAAATAAATAAATAAATAAATAAATAAATAAACGCAAAACTGAAATGTACAAATAATTAAATTAACATGAAAAAATATATATCTCATGAACAAATAACCAAACAAACAGACCCATAATATAAATAAATGAATTAAATAAATACACATACATAAATAATAAAAGCAAAACTAAATGAAAGAAAGAATAATTAAATAAATATAGAAATAAATATCAACAAATAAACAAAACACACCTGATAAATAAATAAGCAATAAAAAAATAAATCAATACATAAATAAATAAATAAATACATAAATGAATACATAAATAAATAAATATATAAATAAATAAAAGCAAAAGTGAAATGTACAAATAATTAAATAGACATGAAAAAATATATATGAACAAATAACCAAACAAACAGACCCATAATATGAATAAATGAAAATAAATAAATGAAATAAATACACATACATAAATAATAAAAGCAAAACTAAATGAAAGAAAGAATAATTAAATAAATATAGAAATAAATATCAACAAATAAACAAAACACACCTGATAAATAAATAAGCAATAAAAAATAAATCAATACATAAATAAATAAATAAATACATAAATAAATACATAAATAAATAAATAAATAAAAGCAAAAGTGAAATGTACAAATAATTAAATAGACATGAAAAAATATATATGAACAAATAACCAAACAAACAGACCCATAATATAAATAAATGAAAATAAATAAATTAAATAAATACACACGCAGAAATAATAAAAGCAAAACTAAATGAAAGAAAGAATAATTAAATAAATAAACAAAACACGTGATAAAAATAAACAAAAATAAATATGTACATACATAAATTATAAATAAATATAAGCAAACTAAACATAATTAAATAAATAGAAGAACAGATAATTAAATAAATAAAGATGAACAAATAAAGAAACAAACATACGCAATCACGTGACATAGCGCGATATAGTCCAGCCCACATGATAATTGATAACTGTGGACGTTATTTGTCGACACTTGACAACAGACAACATTAAAAAAAAACCCGTTACACGATACCATAACACCTTGACTAAAGTCTTCGGTGTAATAAGTGTAGTTAGTGCAAAATGTACATTCACGTGCAAAATATGTAACAGAAGTTGCTTACGGAGAAAAAAATCTAGTTCTCAATTACAAGTTACTTCAAATAATCGGTCATAGCTGAAATAACTCATTAGAGGTAATTATAGCTGAAATATATTTAGCAGTTCAGTAGAAATAGATCAACATTCAAAGTGCAAATTTGTCAAAAAAACGGAAAAATTCAGCCCAGTTATTTGTTTTGACAATGAGATAAATTTTTAGATTTCTTTAAACCAAATTCAAATCGAAAAAGGGCTTTATATTATAACACACAATATTCCCATACCATCCTTCCTTGAGTTACCTAATATCAGGCAAAAACAAAACGCCTGTTCAAATTCAGTAAGTGCTCGGAATAAAAAAAAGTAGCAGGCTGCTGTACAAGCAGGTAGCATGTACGAAGCTTAGAGCAGTATAGCAAACCACCACTGCTACCTTCTCACCTGTTGGTAGTCTTGAAGGAATTGGGAGTGGTTGAAGTATCGAAAGTGGTAGCCATACTTCTCCAGGTACAGATTCAGATACGCATAGCACCCACATTTGTACGACATCTCACTTCGCCAAACTTGATTTAATTTATCTAAGCTACCAGTTACAGTCAACTCTGAAAAATGGCTGAAATAATAAACTTCACATTTTAACCCGAATCATCCTATGAAGTTTGTTATACAATTAGATATCATGTGAAAATGAATGATGCAAGTACATTTCGGAGCAAATACTTTTAACTTTCAACTTTGTTATCGCTTGAGCTAATACTTTTAACTTTGTTCACATACGTAGCTAGACCAATCAGTTTGATCTTGGAAAATGGCGGATCAATTCAACAATGTCTCTCCCCCCTCCCTATCCGAGGGGGAGAGATAGCTCAATAGGTACTTGAGGCATGTTTATATCGACTTGAACTACTTTTAGGCGAATAAAGCTATACGCCAGGTTCAGATTCTCCAGCAAACGCGGGGGAACTAAAACTCACAATATTAAGTGGAAAAATGGACAAATTAGTCGCATATAAAACCTGCTTTTTTCCGTTTTTAATGAAAAAAATGGTCAGCTGCATACATTGTGAGGATATTGTAGGATTTTTTGGCATAAACAGAGGCCAGAGCACTAAACCTGGTAACTTCCTTACTTCAAAGCAAGGATAGCCTCTAACAAAAATCTGAAAAAAAAACCCGGCACAAAAAAACTCGTCTCCCAATTGATTGCGAGCTATTTACACTGAATCCAACTAGAAGCATTTGAAAACGTCTTTGAAAGGGTTTTGTCGTTTTTCCTAGGGGGAGGGGAGGTAGATCGATAAATGGCTAATTATGGGGGGTCATTGCCGTATTGATCCAAAATAGCCATCTTTTGCTATGGTCACCTTTATCAGACAAAAATGTTTTTCGAGTGATCAGTTCTTGAGATTAATTCAATAAATTTCAATTGACAACACTTGAACCCTATGAAAACAATTCCATAACAGCAAAATATGAACAAACAAACCAGTATAGAAAAGTATTGTAAAAAGTCATAAGACTATCGAAAGAGTTCTGTTTTCATAGTCTTGAGTTCGGTTTTCAAATTAAAACAAACCTTAACCTCGCTTTTTAGAATTATTCGGAAACATCCATTTCTTTCATAATACCACAGAGACTAAGCAGAGCTTCGCACCACTTACGATACAACAAAAGAAAAATAACAAAAAAAAACGGAAATGTTGAAAAAACTATATCTATCATAATGATTAAAGCTAGTTTTGAAACACTAACATGCCGAGACAATAAAATGAGAGATTAGCATCGGAAGATAATTTACCCAGCGGTAGCAAAGCCGAAAATACCTTGGCAGAAACCCTTTAGTAAAAAAAATCAACCTCAGAACACCCAAAAACTTTATGAAACAGCAAATGAAACAATATGAGACAACTGAAACAATATGAGGCAAATGAAACAATATGGGACAACTAAACCGATATTATATGAAACAATATGAGACCACTGTGAAACAATAATAAAACAAAATGAGACAAATAAACCGATATAATATAGACCGAAACCTATTAAGCTCAAAAAAAGCAAAACAAAAAAGGACGAAAAAAAAAAAGTTAGTAAGCCCCCCTCGTCTTCAAAACACAGACACACACACACACATACAGACGCACACACACAGGCACACACACACACTTTTTTCGATCGTCGAAAGACGCAATATGAGGCCGAGAAAACGATCTAGTATATGCCGAAAACTATCAAGCCGAAAAAGAAAAGAAAAAACAAAGCCGAAAAAATTGTTGCAATGAAAAACTTGAACTATAATTTCTATTAAAATTTTGTGCAATCCAGAGATGAGCATAAAAAACATATTTCCATTGAAGCGATTCGAAATTAGGTCACTAAGTCGATAAAAAATAGGCCGAAATCATTTAGGCAGAAGAACGTTTTTAAGCGAAAACAAAAAAATGTATACGATGTCAAAGTTAAAAAATTTATTGAAAAAACACGTATAAGGATAAACAGCGGGTGTAATAGACTAATGAGCGCACATAGACACACATAGTGCATGCATACCTTGTACTGCATACCTGCTGAAATATGCGAAAGAAGTTGTTTACGGGAAAAGTCTATTACCCGATTGCAATACCCTTGGTTATCGCAAAGGTAATCAACAATTACAATGAAAACTTTTTATAATATCAATTAAAACTTAAGAAATAAGAAATCTACGGAAAATAGGTTTATCCACAGACGCGAAGCGGAGCTTCGCGCCACTTCGATACCACCACAAAACAAAGCATTGTAAGCTAGCCACCAGCAAGGCAATTGATAAAATGATGAGCGTGTCGATAACGAATGTCACGAAAAACGTCAAAAGATGTTCAATTTAAGGACCACAAAAAGGTTGAGAAATACAATCGCTAAAACAGCAGTAACAAAAACTTTCCGACAACTCAGCCGATAAAACTGAGGTAGATGCCAGTAGAGCCAAAAACAGTGGAATTGAAAAAATTTGAGCTAAAAATTTGAACCACCAAGCATTTGAAAAAAACCAGTGAGAAACGCTCATGAAGCCGCAGCTAAGGCGACAACACGGGTAGACACTAGTTAAGTCGAAAAAAATCATGACAAGATTAGTTTTGGGCTAGAAAAATATACAGAGGCGAAGCGGAGCCTCGCATCACATGCGCTACAACGCTAGCTCAGCATTGCATGCTAGCGATTAGAAAGCAAGGGAAAGTCATTGGAAAGTTTTTTTGAAAAAATTAAAAACAACCGAGAAACACACCATAAAATTAGATTATAGTACTTACCGAGCGGCCACAAAGAAGACAACACACGAGCAGACGCCCATTTAGCCGAAAACAAAAAATGCCATGAGAAACTTTTAAGATCAAATCTAAAAACTTACCAAAACCGACCTGAATTATATTTAAACACAATTATAAATTTTCACCAATCAAAACATATAGAATAAATTCCCTTTAGCCGCTGAAACAAAAGGAAAAGACTTTCATTGAAAAAAAAACATGAAATCGTTGTTGACAAAATAACAGCAAAACCGTTTAAATAAGAAAAAAGTGATGTTTTGCATAATAAACCGACAGAATTAGGCAACCAAACGAGTCCGACCATTCAATTTTTCCTAGATAAAAATCCATTTCCAACATAATGAAAAAAAGGTCCGGCCGGGACTCAAAGCCGAGACCTTTGAGAGGAACGGCAACCTTGCAAACTCTAGATCAAATTCAATAATAAAATTCAACTCGTGACATTAAAAAAACAATTTTAATACAAAACAGTGAATAGAAAAAGAGACGAAGTCAAAATCTTTCTTTGAATTAAGTTGAAAAAAAAAGAAACTTGAAAAAAATCGAAAAAACTACTGAGGCAAAAACTTCATATGTTTGTCTCAGATCATTTTCTTAGGGCACTAAAGCACAAAAATTTGTTTTTTTTTGCCAAAGTACGCAAAAATAGGAGAAATAAACTAAATAACATAAGCCACAACCGTTTCATTGGGAAAAAAAATCAAAAACCTAGAAAACACACACTCGAAATCTTTCAAATATCTTTCAAGTTACAAACTGGTTAAATCGGAAGAAAAACGCATTTTGTAAAAACAAAAATCATGAAAAACATGCCAAAAAGATAAATGCATCTGAAAAAAAAACGGAAATTGAGCCGACAAAAATTAGGACAAAACCCAAGAATCCGAATCAAAAATTGATGCAATAGTTAGATTTTAAATTTCAAGAAATTGAGCATGACAGCAGCCAACACCTGAAAATAGCTGCATGTATTCCTCTGAAAGATTTGTAGGGGCCCCCAGTCTCACACGCATCGTCAAGGTGGGACCGGCTACGGCGAAATGGATGACATTGACATCCACGCTCCCGGTTGATTTTGCATTGCGTAGAGCCGGCGGCAAAAAAACGGGAAAAAAGTCTTGTTTCGGATTACAGGACTTTAACTCTTGCAAGTGTTGCAATTGAAAACTATAAACCCACTCCCCCCGTATCTGGAAACACAAAAAATTAGAGAATTTAAACGCAATGTGAGGCGAAACGCTATCAATAAACGCAATGTGAGGCCAGCAGACAAAAATTTAATCAACGAAAAATTTTCAATAAGAAGAAACCATGAATTGAAACGCAAATTCCCTCATTCAATAAGCCTTCAGGCAAAGTGTATAAAGCGTAATTAATCCGACAATACTTAATCAGACTGAAGTTATTTAATACACCCTTTACAGCGAAAAAAAATAAACAAGAAATTACACTAAATTGGATCTATGTTACTTACAAATTACAGGATTTATATTACTTCCAAATTAAAATCAAATTCAATTTTAAAAACACGACTTCCATCTGAATAAAATTTACGCTGTGCACTTAAGCGGACAACACTGAGCAGACAGATAATACAGCGACAATTAGATTTTTCACAAAAACTTTCATATCGAGAGCACTGATATAATTTCTTAAGTGTACTGTAACATCAGTAGTACCGTATTTTATTCACATTTTCATGCCAACAAGTGAAAATACACGTACAGTCTAAAAATTCAAGTGATTTTGTTATGCACGTTGTTCACCCAAAAAAGTCTTTACTCGGATTTATTACCACTTGCTAATCGCAAGCGTAATTAGTTGAGTTCAAAACCATTAGCTAATAAATTTGACTCGGTTACGTTTTTTTATACCTCTAATTCAGGCCACCTAAAACTTGAGCAATAATATCAACCATACATACATATGCGCCAATACTCTTTAAGTTTAAAAACGTTTTACGGAGCTATAACTAAATTCCCATTATATTCGTAATTTTAGAAAATAAAGTCAACTATGCCGACGCAAGCCATGAAACAGACAAAAAGTATTCTCTAGATTTCTGTTAGAACTAGGTGTATGAGAACAATTATGTAGTCTGCAAAAGTACGTAGTACAGTTTCACGCACATTACGAGGCCAAGCTCTGCACTGGATAGGAGGACAATTTTGTGTCTGTAAGTTCCTGGATTCCAGAGACAAGTCTTAAAATATGTTCCAAAATGTAAGTGGATTCCACAAACAAAAATTCAGTGGATTCCGCATTCATATACCTGTAACGTAAATTTTGTCGGCACATTTGTTTTGTTGCGGATTCCGCAACAAGCAAATATAGCTAGTTATTTGGATTCCAAAACTGTAAGTGGATTCCGCAAAATGTAAGTGAGATTAAGTGAATATAAGTGAATATTTGCAGGAATTGAGATTGATGGCAAGAATTGGGATCGAAGTTGTGTTACAGGAATCGGGATCGAAGTTTGGTTACAGGAATCGGGATCGAAGCTTGGTTACAGGAATCGGGATCGAAATTGGGTTACAGGAATTGGGATCGAAGTTGGTGACGAAGTTAGTCAGATCGAAGTTGAGATCGAATTGAGACTGGTAGACGGCGTCATGTATTGTTGGTGAACCGTTGTTGGTGAACACCTGTAGTAAATAAAAGATTTAAGATAAAACGTTACCACATATAAACATATATGTAAATGGAATCCGCAAACAAAATGCGGATTCCACTTACAATTTGCGGATTCCACTTACAGTTGCGAGATCCGCAACAGCTCAATTTAACGAAACAAATGTTTTATCATTTGTTTGTGGATTCCACAAACTGTTCTGGATTCCACAAATACTGTTGCGGATTCCGCAAATTCGCATATTTTTGGAGCGATTTTGAGCGGTACAATGATTTAGGTATTTGTTTGTGGAATCCAAAACAGCATAGAAGATCAAAGAAAAGTAACAATGCTGCAGATTCCGCGACAAAACTGATTTTGGCCTGTTGCGGATTCCGCTTACAATGCAGAGAATGCACAGCTTGGCCTCGTAATGCAGTAAAACAAAATCTATGGGAATTTGAGTACGTCAAAACATAATTTTTCTTTATTTTGAGGTAAATCTACATGTTCCCACCATTCTCAATGTTTCAACAACAAACTGCAGCAAATGAAAACGCGTTCAATTTCAAACATTTTCAAACGCTTTCAATTTCAAACGCTTTCATTTGACATTTACTAGTTTGTGATAAAAAAGGAAACCAATTTAAAAAACATAACCAACAAACAAATGGAAGAGTCCATGAACGCAAAGAATTTTTTTTTTCGAATTTCAACCAAAAAGTATTTGGCCTTAAAGCTCTCTGAATTTCAAAATCAAGTTAAAATTGGCATTTTTGATAAAAAATTTATCCAAATTTGAAAAAAACTGGATTTTTAGAAAAACTTTTTATTCTGCTGGGAAATCTAAATTCCACTTTCAAAGCTATAAATCGATCACTTTTTTTGCAACATTTCAGCTTAAATAACTGGAAAGTGCATTTTGCATTTCTTCTAGCAAATGAACTTGATTTGAACTCAAAAAGAGCATATTTATCTAGGGAATTCACATCTGCATTTATAAGTATGAATTCACTTCTTTTGTTGTTAAAGCATTGTATAATTTTTCCTGAAGAAACTAATTAAAAAAACCACGATCTGTATAAAAGTCTGAATTACGCTCATCGACTCTTAAAAACATAGCCAACAGATATTTGGAACAGTGTGATAGACTAGCGAAACTGAAAAACAAGTTGAATGAAAATTTTGAACATTTTGCAACTTTCGCATTTCTAAGAAAAAAGTATCCCACTTTGAGGCTCTTTGAGGTCCAAACCTTGTTTTGGCACTGTTTTTGTAAAATTATCCCATTTAGAGAGATCTTTATCAAAATGTATTTTTTTATTCCGCTGCGTATTACAAAAATGTAAGTAAATTTTTGAAAGTCCGATAGCGGAGTTTGCCGTCAGTTAAAAAAGGGAAAGAAATGAACTTTAAAAGAAATCATACGTCTAACAGCAAAAAAATGAACCAGAAAACAACAAAAAATCATTCACGACTTAATGCGAAAATGAATTCGTTATTTTACACTTAAAAATGAATCAAGTGTATGTGTTTATTACGATTGCAAAACAAATTTGCAAAACACTGAACTCAAATTCGCACTACTGCTAGCAGAGACAGAGAGAGAGAGAGAGAGAGAGAGAGAGAAATTGGATCAAGACCAGGAAAAAGTTTTCTAAAAAGCTCTCTTTACAATTGTAATTAACACAATTTTTACCTTTCGAATTTCAGAAGACGAAATCTATCACGTTTAACTCTTTCAATACTCTTCTACAATTGCATATTAGTTGCAAAAAATTAAAAAATTCAATTGACGCAATTAAATAGAAAAAGTACCGACTTGTTTTTTAAACAAAAAACATCTTTCAAAATTCGAAGAAAAAATAGATTCCCTAAAAACCTCTTTGAAATTCTACAACAAATTATGATTAAAACTTTTTCGATAAAATTGACCCAATTCGAGAAAACTGGATCAATGAGTTAATTTTTTTATTTCACTGAGAAAACTGAGAATTAAATTCCACTTTCGAAACTAGAAGTTCGTCACGTTTTTCGTGACCTTCACACTTTTGCTGTTCGATACTGAAGTTTGCCTTCCTTTTAACAAAGGAAATGAACTGAAGTTAAGCAAAAATCAAAAGTAAAACAGCGAAAAAGTGAATTCGAGCCTGAACAAATTCTAAGACTTTTTCCGAAAAAAAAATCATTGCGACCAATAGAAGAGACTGAACAACGTTCATTGACTCTGAAAGAATTTGAACAAACTAGGTCTACCAATGTTTACGTTTGTCACGATGAAAATTCATTGTAGCCAAACAACCTAAGCAAACGTTTGAATGTTAAATTAGCAACGGAAGAAAACTTCGGTAGCAAAAACAAATTTGAGCCGGAAAAATGATTTCGTAAAAAAAAGTTTTTAATGAACAACAATTGCAATTATCATGAAAACTGCTTACAAAACAAGAAAAATCCGTGATCTGGCAACAAAGCCGATAAAACTTGAGCAGACAAACAAAATTCCGACAATTCAATTTCTACGGGAAAAAATTACAATTCATACATACCGAAAAAAAAGTCCCGCCGGGACTCGAACCCAAGACATTATGGTGAAAAAACAACCACGCTACATCAAGGCCAAGTGTGAACGAACCTGGTAATTGTTAACATTCAATAACAACGCAAGTAACATTTGTGACAAAAGATGTTTACTGGAAAAAAGTCTGGTTCCCGATTAATAGACTTTTGCTCTCGAATGTTTTATCAAATTAACCTGGAGCAAAGTGGATTGATAGTAAATTTTTTATTCCGCGGAAAATTCCAAAAGTTAATGATTTTCACTTCGAAAAATCAATATTGAGCATGAATTAAGTTTATTCCTAGAAAAAATCAACGAGGATTATAAGAGTGTCTTCACTATATTCATTGACACTTGAAAACAAAAATCCGATTAAAGTTTTTAAAATGGTTTGAGAAAAAACTACAAAATTTTCCTAAAACTGACATTTCGGAATTCTGAAGGCAATTTCTTCTTCACATAAGACAAAAGCTTTAAAATGAGAGCAAGAAACAGACAAAAATGTTCCATAAACCAAAAATATGCTTCCAGCTGTTCATTGAAACTTGATTAATTCACAACTTTTGGTTACTGGACAGACATGGCAAATTTCATCGAAATAGCTAATTTTTGTCAAGAACGCTAGCTTCTTGATCAAATTAACTATAACGAAAGGTTCAATATTTTGCATCAACCGCCTGATCTCTCTAAGCTTTGAATTGAAAATAATAACTTTGGAAACTTCACTTTTGACTAAAAAGATAGAAGAAAATAAAATATGTACAAACTAAAGAAGTAAAATCAAGATTGCATCTTACACCAGTTCAGAGTACCCAACAAAACAAGCTAATTTTAAATATCACTCACCATCATCCAATAAGAAACGCAGGCAATAGTTGCCCATCTATACACAGGGCGGGGTCATCTTTTTACAGCCACTAAATGTATAAAACTAGAAAAATAATGCATCACTCTCTATCTTCTGGTAAGATAGATTTAACGAGTGATTTGCTATCGATGTGGCTATTATATTGACAAACATTACGACTGTATATATGAAAATTCTCAATGAAATAATTCACAATTTAAGGTTCAGTAGTAGCACCGAAAATGAAGGAAGCGCAAATTGCGAGTTATTCGATTTCACAAGCACATCATTCTATCTAACGTACTCCGACACTTTTTGAAATCCGCCGCGCGTATCGTATTATCTTCGATTCTTCTAGAACTTTCCTGATCTTCTAGAAGTTTCTTGAGCGACGGAGTCTATTATGTGTGGTCAGGTCTAGTAGCTCCTCGAAGACGAATAAGAGTGTCCGCTTTCTGGGCTGAAGTGCGATATGAAACTGTTGAACACTTCGTCGTCTACTCTGATGCCTCCGTCTGTGTCTTTCGGTCCCAACAGTCTGACAGTCTCGATAATCTCTTGGGCATTAGGCAGTAGAAATCTGTCGTAGATGATCTTGAGTGCGTTCACTTTGTATCTGCTTTCCCACTGGTTCGAGAAGTTGGATGCTTGCATGTGGGAGTGTTGTGACGATGGCGATCCCTGCATGAACTGCTGCTGTTGTTGTAGGTTCATTTGGTCCCAGTGGTGCTGCTGCTGCTGCTGCTCATTGGCACTGTCAAATCTCATACCCTCCAAGAAAGCGTCCATGTGGGAATCCAAAACAGGACTAAACAGAAATCAATTTAATAGTATAAGATTTCTATTTTTGACTGTTTTCAGCACCGATTTGTAATGCTTACCCTGAATCTAGCTGAAATCATACTACACAGATGCTAAGCATTACCTCGCAAAAAACGGCAAAAAAAGTTTTGAAAAAAAAATTCGAGAAGCATTTTAAGAAAATAAACATGAATAAAAAACCACAAAGACTTTGAAACTGATACATGTACCTTCACAAAAAGAGTCTCGTGCTTTAAAGACTTCGCAATAGCAACTTCACACAACCACGAATACTTATGAACTTAAAACAAAACTTAACAACAAAATAAGAGACTTTGGTTGGGAGAAAATCGGATGATTGTCTGACTATGTTCGCTAGCTTTCTTGTGTAAGATCCTGCTTCGGTTTAAATTTATCTCTAGTTCAAATCATTTCTACAGTAACACAAAAGAGAAACCTAAAAAGTGAGCAACTTTTTTTGTTCAAAAAGCAGGTAGTTTTGCCTGTCGCAACTTATAGTTGCGAGATTGCAGTCTAATTTGTGTTATTATTCGAACAATTTTGATGCTCACATTCGACTATCATCGCACTTCCTGAAGAACTGCGTAGAGTACTCGTTGAATTCAGGCACGTATTTCTCAAACACATTCGTCTGTTTCAGTGAGCGGCCATTTTCTTCGGTTGATTTCGGCGGTGACCTCACTTTACTCCTATCATACGAAGCTGTGTCCATTAACGTCTGCGCAACAACCTGAAAAAAAGACATTACAGATTATCCTACATCAAAAAGAAAAGATTCAAAAGCATTCACAAAACCCATAATTCGATCTACGACCATAATATAAAAACATAGCTAACAGAAAATTGAAACAGTCATGAACGCAAGGAAACAAAAAATACTGAATTGAAAAAACTTTCGAATTTCAAAGCCAAAAATATATGGCCTTATAGCTCTTTGAATTTCAAGAACAATTTATGGTAGACACTTTTGTTGATAAAATAAACCCAATTTGAGAAAAATGGATCAATAGTAAAGTTTTTATTCCCCTGGAAATCTAAGAATTAAATTCCGCTTTCGAAAATGAAAATTGATTGCGTTTTATCAAAGGAAATGAGCTGATCCTTAAAAGAAATCAGTCAAACCACGAAAAATCAAATTTTAGCATGAACAAATTAAGTTTTTTTTCTGAAAAAAAACTGAATAAAAATCCCCAAGACCTATGAAAGAGTATTGACTACGTTCGTGACTCTTTATCAAAAGAGGTTTCTCAAATATTGTAAGTCAAAAATGAAGAATATCTTTCAACAGTATTAAAACATTCGCAGTTTGTATTTAATGAGAGTAAACATCCATCACCTCCAAGGAGTGTTCGACAGCAGAGACACTTCGGACGTCTAGCAAGTTGTCTGGCTTCTGGATCATCCTAACCCAGAACTCTGAAATGAGACAGTTGCTCTTCCACAGCTTCACATCGTGCGTGTTCCTGTTTTCCTCTGCACACTGTTTGAATATCTTGAAGAGGTAGCGGATGGGAAATGCCACCATGGACTCCTGCTCATAGTAGAGAATCTCTTTAAAGAACTTGTCGATCGCTCCTCTTGTACTCTCCTGAACACAACATCAAAAGCAATTAGAGAAGAGGGTAATAATTAGTAAACAATTGCATAAAAAGGTAACATTACACACAGAGGCGAAGCAGAGCTTCGCAACACTTGCGATACAAAATGAAGGACTATTACTACTTGCACATGAAACGACAAATCGAAAAATGAAAAACCCAAAAACTTTTTTTGTGTCAAAAACAAAAACTGTAAAAAAAATTGCAAAAAAATCCAAAATATTGGAAGTGAATTACCTGCACCTTTACAAATTTTTACAAATACAATCGAAGCGAAGCTTCGCTTTACTTACAGTACATACATAGAATGACAAACTAACCGACATAAATAGAGATAAAAGCCGTAAAAAACAATGTTTTTCTTTAAATATCAAAAAAATTGATCTACCAAAAACTTTTTAGCTAGCCTTATTTGAGCTACTTGTGTGAGCCATCTAGAGTGAAACTTTAGGTCCGAAATTTGCAGAAGGAATTGCACAAAAGTGATTCTGGTGATTCAAAGAAACTTTAAGTCTAAGTCTCTTTTAGTCTCGACTTGACTCCGTTTCAGAACAAGGGGATGAAAACTCATGGTTTCATTAGTTTTCCCGGATAACTTAAATAAGCGCTGCAAGTCATTGAAATTTTATCGGTTCGTTTAACGGAAACGACATTATCAAGAGCTTCGGATTATCTAAAAGTGACTCACCATAGCATACACAATGCGATTCAGATCTGCCGATTGAGAAAGTCCCTTCAGCACCTGTGCCTGTTGCTTCTCCTGCGTCTTCAACTGCTTCTTACTGCTGCCACTTCTTCCGAACCGACCCCCATTCTCTCTGTCTAGATCGCCAGGGTATAACAGTCCAATATTAGCATCGTCTTCCAGGTGTATTAGGTCTGGCCTGTCTTGTGTGTCTGTGTACATATTGTTGAACCCGTTGTTAGTCGCATTGCCATTGGTCATCATGATTTCACCGTAAGCACCTGAAAAATCGAAACCAACATCCATATTAAGCTTAACTTGAAACACTCATCACCTCAACTTAGGCCATCCATTTCAACTAGCAATGGGGCCGAATCGTAATTTACTGTATTATCGATCGATTGAGATTTCTGCGATTCGCAGAGGATCTATGAAAGGCTATCCAGCCTATCTAAGCATAGTCCATTTCTCTTATTTCCCCACATTTTAGACTGAGATTTGGGCACCGAAATATGAACTCGTAATCGTATTATAACACCGGGATTTTTTGTGTAATGATTGGGTATCCGACTTTTTCCTATTAACAATTTTGTCTAAATTTCATCTTTACTACCTCGATGCTATGCTGCTTATGTAAATGCTAGGTGTCTTACAAAACAGGAACTATCATTTGGCTTTCTCGGTATCTTTTCGACAGAATGAGTTTTTTTCGAGACCAACGTATGAAAACTTCTGTGTAAAGTTTTTATTCGTTCTATAAAAAAATCTACCGGGACTTTAGTCCGCTTCGCTTTTGTGGTAAGTCCTGAAAAATCAAACAGATTTCACTACGCTACTAATTTTAACGTCTGCTACCACCCAATATCATAGAGAGAACTCATTGAATTCTCAAGTAGTTACAGAGAAAATAACGTGCAGATAAAAAGATGTTCGTTCATTTCATCGGATGAAAACTTTTAAGTCGCAACTTCTCTTTACCAGGAATAGCTTGAAGAATATCTTTTTACTGAATGTCAACACTGACAGTTATCTTAAGATTTTTATTTTGTCCCACCCATATTGTAACCCATATCCGAACACAGTAATCGAAGCAAAGAAGAATATGAAGTAAAATGAAATTATTAAAGATCTACGAAGGAAAGATCAGGTACGTAAAAGTTACTAGTGTAATGAAGGGCAGAAAAGCGAGTTGAACTACCTGGTTTTGGGTATCGAAGGGTTGTCCAGGCCTCCTTCATTCTCAACAGGGGAGTGGCTGCAGAAAAATAAACAAAAGAGAAATCATCAGGGTTAAGAGAAAACACATGAAGAAAATCAGTTCAACATTCGAACAGAAAAATAAGAGCCAACCAGATTGAACTAGCTAGGTTAGTAATTTTCTCTTAAACAGATTCAATTACACTAAATTTCGATTGGATCAAAGACTTCGAAATAATAGTCCTTGATTAGAAGACTATAATTGTTTAGTCCTGGATTATAATTCATTCTTATATAATGATGTCACACCTGGTTGTCTGAACTGGGGGTCCATAGTTCCATTAACTCCACCCCCCACATTGGGACTGCCATTGAGACTGCCTGTGTTGAATGTTGTCGTCTCGTGGTACATCCTGGGTCTCAAATAAACGTAGAAGTCGTCACGGGGCAGCGAGTCTTTAACAGTGAGGAGTTTTTTCACCCTCGTAACTCCTCTAATCGTTGCATCCGTCATCTCTTCCTTCACTTCCTCCTGGTGAGTCACCAAGGACTGCACAACTACACAAAACATCAACATTATTATTCCGACAACTTTCGAAGAAAAGGACGGAATATTTGTGCTAGGGGAGGTTTTTTTCTCAAGACAAACTTCGACTTTTGAACTAGCCGTTTTTGACGGAATTTTTATTATATATCAGACGAAAGGTATTGTTGTCCTGAGTTCAATTTTATAACGATATTTCACCTGTGATCATTTTTCGTAAAGCTAGGGGTGTTTAAAGATTACCGATTTGGGATAATTAACGAGCGATATATTTTGCGCTAATAACGCGTAGGCGGAGTTTAAATACGTTCTCAATATTGGAAAAGGTTCCAAATTGAACTGAGACATGCTGTTTGGTCTATTTAGAGGCAAAGCTTTGCAAAAACTAGCGAGAACACCACAAAAAGCAGCTCTATGAAGTGCAACTAGGAAAAAAATAAACATAAGCCTCGAATTAGTAAAATTTCAACTACGTCTCGGATTCGATCTGCGACCTGCAGCAACCTAGAGAATAGGACTGTCACGCACTAAACACTCAGCCACGGACGCTTTATAAATCCTAAAGACTAGCCGCAAATAAAGCAGAGAACAATGCTTTGAAATTTCCAATGCTACATATCGTGATTATAGCAAAAAATGCAATAAACACTTCTATTTGCGACTTAGGATAGAAAACAGAAAGTTCGTAATAATACACTACGCTGCTCGCAAGTGTAAATATTTTGTTATCTGCTAAATGTAGCCCTTTGTACTTTACCTATCGTGTGAGCTGATGATTTTCATAAATTATTGTTTTGAAAAATTTGTCGGAACATTCAGAGCTTCGCCCTGATACGAGCAGTCTTTTTATCATCGATGTTTTGTCGAATTTTCTTTTGACGTAAATCGCAAGAAAATTTTTTGACAAAATAGGGTCTATCAAACTGATCGATCTAAGAAAAGGTCGAAAAAATTTTCAATTTTTTTTTAGAAAACCACACCACCCTAATCAAATCATATCGTTGATCCATTTGCGTCCCTGCTCCTGCCGATCAAAATTCCCTGCACTTGCCGATCGACAGTGGAAATTTATGACATTGATCGACAGTAGGAACTTTGGACGCAGAAAAATTCCCTGCTCCTGCCGATTGACAGTCGGAATTTTGGACGTCGAAAAAAACACTAGCGAGAAAATGACAAAAAGCAGCTCTATAAATTGAAAAAAAAGCATAAATGAACCTCGAATTAGTAATTCTTTTGCTATGTATCGGTTTCGAACCTGCAACTTCGATATTTGAAGTCTCACGTTCTCGGATCTGCGCCACAGGCCCTTCAAAGTTCGCAAAGATTAAGAAAGTTTGCGAGCAAAAATTATTTCAAAAAACTATCGCTACGTGCGAAGCTGAACCTCCGATCATAAGATTGGCAGTCACAGTCATTTTCCTTCCAACTGTGCCAAGATCACTTACCGATAGGCAAACATTAGCCACAAATAAAGCACAGAGCAGATGCTAGAAAATTTCAAATGCTACACATCGTGATTATAGCAAATGAGCCTTTTTATTTGCAAGTTAGTTTGAAAAAAGTCATACTATTACACTACGCTCGTAAGTGTAACAAGAAGTCTCTGCAGAGGAAAACTGGACGGGATTTTACCATTTTCCAGAAAAAATTAGATTGAAACTGACACGAATTTGATATGAGACTGACCTCCAACTGTCTTTCAACAACTATTTTTCATTTCTGATTTTTTTTTTCAATCAAGTTGGTCGCATTTTTTGCGCTACTTGCACAGCAACCGACTCTTTTTATTTCGTTTTGAACACATTTTAAATTCTCGAAGTGTTTTAAATACAACATGTATGATTGTCAACGTTAGACGGAAGTACTTTATCTGAGAAGTATGAAAAAACAAGAGACCGAAGTTGTGCATCTAAACAATGATATCCAAAATAATTTGTTTAACTACTTGTTAAAATATGGTTTGTTACTCTGATTTAACAAAAAAAAATGAACACAGCCAACAGTCAGTTGGAAAAAATCAGTGAACGCAGGGAAACATTAAAAAGACATGATTTTTGAAAAAATTTAGAAGTACAAAATATATGGCTTTGCAGCTCTTTGGATTTCAAGAACATATTATTATAGACATTTGTTGATAAAATTAACTCAATTTGACAAAACTGGATCAATGGTAAAGTTTTTTTCTGATGGGAAATCTGAAAAATAAATTCCACTTTCGAAACCAGAATTCAATCACGTTTTTAGTACCCTTTACACTTTCGTATTTGGCAATATGGCAAGCGCAACTTATCTAACTTCTAGCAGATATAATTGTATTACACTTAAACCTTGCATATATAACAAGAAGCATTCATAAATGCATTCATATGTTTGGATGCATTTCTGTTAAATATTACTGCATTTTCAGACTTTTCCTGAAAAAAACAACATTAAAAAATCACCACGACCTATATCAGAGTCTGAACCACGTTCATCGACTCTTAATTAGCCAATTACATTAAATGAATGTTTTTTGGGTAATTCTAAGTAACTCTAATTTGAACTAATCGGTTCAAACTTTTTCAATTGGACATGACCGGATGTGAATACTAGCCTAGTACGTAGTGGTGTGCCTTGGGTCTGTTGGGGTGGGAGTACGGCACATTCCGGAACACCGCATCCAGTATCTTCTCCTTTAGCTGATGGATACTGTCATAGACTGGAACCTCCAGTTGAAACGTGCTGCTATTCCACACATACTTCACACACTACACAAAACACAAGGCAAGATGCAAGATAATAGCGGCGATAAGAGTTGAGTCACCAATACTTACAGCCAACTTACGATTTATTTGTTTCTCATTAAAAAAAATAGACTGGTCTCACAATAGTCTGTCATAAAATATTTGATAAAGAGACTCAATAAGCTACCTAATGTTCCATTCTGGGAAACAGAATTTTCGAAGCATTTGATAAAAAAAAACTGTCTTTTTTTTAATCATTCAATCTCTTACCATCTTCTCGTCCGAATACTCCAGTGATTTTGCCAGCACATTGTCCAGATTTAGAGTGAAGAAACACCTGCCAGTGACCTGATCGACTGGACCCTTCTCTGTTATTGTCTTCACCACAGAGTAGAGGTCGTAGAGTGCTCTGGAGATGTTCTCTCCTTTAATCTCACTGTACATGGTGAACACTAGCCAATTGAACACCAATTTCTCAGCCATACTCTCCGCTCTAAACACAAGCATCACTCTATGTTTTATTAAAAATGATTCGTTTTTCTCAAAAAAAAAATATCATTCCTCTTAACTAATCGCCTCCTTCTCGCTGATCAAGAATTCATTACATGATCAAGAAACCAAAATAAAAACGGATACCCCTAAGCTTCTGAAAGACCAATAAAATTAATATTTGATCTTCAATTTGGCGTCAAATATAAAAATTTCTTGAAAAAATATTAAATAGAATCATTTTTCTTGAAAAACCCAGAACAAGTGAAAACTGCCAAGACTTTTTAGATCTTTTGGTCATGCTTCAAGCTAAAGTTATTGTAATTATCATCCTTTTGGTTTTAAAAAGAAATTTGGAGAGCATTGATGCTCATTGACCTTTCACTTCAGGCAAAAAAAAATTCCTATAAAAAAACAAGATCTAAACAAGTTTCTTCTCTTCGCTCATTGATACTTTATTCAAGATGTATTTAACTTGCCTTCTGAACAAGAGTGCGGGACTTCTTTTGAACCTATACGCGTCATTCACCAGTATCCTGACCATCTCCGCCATCACTTCAGTGATGTACTTCAACTGCGACATAAACGCCACCATCAGAAGAGTCACAAACTGACTTCGATTCTGGGGCGAACATTGCGAACTAGTCTCCAAGACATCCATGATTGAAATCAAAAAGGCCCTGTCTTTCAACCACATTTCTATGTTGTCCACTAAAGCTGTGCTGGCTTCAGATCCAGGGTGCATTTGACTCATTGGCGAGTAGCCCTCATTCATGAAATCGTAAGCACTAAAAGGAGATAGTGTGTTTGACTCTGCATCCCGGAAGAGAATTTTCTCCACGTATCTTCTGAAGCCGTTCACTGGTGCTATGTTCTGTTGGGTGATGTTGCTCTCTTCGTACTCTGGTCTCGATCCCAGGAGGCGTGAGTTGTCATTCGAAAACTGCTCTTGCAGTTTGGTCATTTGGTGGAACAGTCTTTTTCGCTCCTTAAACGCGAAATAGTCATAAACGCCCAGTTATGGACATCCAAACAAAAATCAGAAGCCCTAATTTAACCTCATTCTTTTCTTTTACGATTGAATATCAACAATCACGATAAAAATTCATGGTGAAAATAAATTACATTTGCTTTTGATGATCTAAATAGGTTATAAAATACCTTCGAACTGAGCCCAAGTTAACGCAAAAAAGTTTTCAAAAATTATCTTACCTTTGTGTAAGTAACTTTCTGGCGTCTGCAGTAGGCACATGAACATACGATGAGGAATATGGTCACAATAAAGAGGACCATGGCTACGAAGACAGTCACGAACAAAATAGACAGCAGATCGTCCTTCTTGATCTCAATAAAGCCAATTCTGATCAGAGGCGGGTCAACAACTCCACTAATTTCAAAAGTTTCGTTGAAAGATGTTCCCACCCGGATTCTAACCGTGACCGATTTGCCAATGAGCTCCGGATCCATGTCGCATCTAATTTGTCTGTCACTGTCGAACATACGTTTTCGGCAGCTTTTGTCGTTCACTGTAATGTTTGACGCGTCATACACGAACTTTGGAATTTCGTATCGCGATTCGAGGATCAAAACTCCTTCTGGAGTTGAGTTCTTGCTTGAGAAGTGAGGATTGCGGTAGACATTCACCGGGAAGTATCCAAGACCAGCAGTTTTAACTCCATCCATGCTAAAAAAAAAGAACAACTATAGTTTTTCAAGATTTCTTATCAGATTCAGGACTTGGGACGAAATTTTAGTATTAAGTCAATTAGTATCATTTTTCCTCAATTTAATCTGAAATTGAAAGTGTTTTCTGCAGTAAAAGAACTAGGCACTGAACTAAATTTCCAATTGAACTTACATGAAGCCTACATTCGATTTGAACAAAAATGCATCTCTTGAGCTTCTTTTGTAGAGGTTCTGGTATTCGTAGAAAGTTCTAGAAATTTCTGGCATTTCACACGTCATCTCTCTGCTCGAATTAGTCTTACAAGATCCTGTTGCGCCTGAATATACTAATGTTGAAGATCCACCATTCGGAGGCAGAATTTGAATCTTTGGAAACTGCACAACATCTAAGTTCTTTCCACTAACTTCGACCAGAATTCCTCCGGCTTCGATGGTTGAGTCTGGTTTAATTTTGGAAATGATCGGGTTCGGTTTGTACTGAAAATTGGCTCTCGACTTTTCGTCGTAGTGCTCGTCGATAGTAATTCGAATCCTGCCGCTGTCACTGGTTGTTTTTGCAGCACCAGTAACGCACATGAACCATTTAGACCACCTTTCAATAACATTACAAGGGTATCCCGCAATAGTCACTAGCATCTTAGAGCCCGCGTCTAAATCTGTGCCATTGACAATCACGTGCGTTCCACCGTCGTAGGGTCCAAACTGCGGGTTGAAGTCCAAAATCTTAGGTGACCGGAACCGAAATTTAACATCTGATTCAATTTCAAACGAGCTTCCGTGGGTGATTCCAACCACAATTGAGCCTTCGGCATCTTTCGCAATTCGCGAAGTCCTACAAACTATGCTCTTTGCAGGCATGTACAAACTTACTTCGACGTGACACGGAATCTGTTCAGACGCGGTCTTGATATACACACGTGCGATGTTCTCTATGCTTCTGCCCAAATTTTCACCCGTAATATTTATCATCGTATTTCCTGTTTGGGGTCCGCTCTGGGGGTAAAAAGTGTATATTTTTGGATTCATGCAGACGTTATCGATCTTGTTGGTTATGAATGTGTGGTCGCACTGCTGTTGGATGGTACAGAATCCAGCTTTAGGGGCCTGACAAAATCCGCATTGGAAGTTTGGGTCGATATAAGACAGACACTCGCCACAATTTCCAGCTAGTTTGCTACAGTTGTAAAGCTCAACTAAAACATTCATCCAATTAAGATCATCATGCAAATTGCAACTAAAAAGCAGCTTCTCAGCTGAAATTTCCAAAAACTCGCAAAAGGAACCGCGTTCAGAAATTCAACACCTAGCAGATAATACTAATTTGCGACATCAGTTGCTGCCTAATTAACCATGAAAATTTTCAATAAACTGCTTGTTTGCAAATTTTTGGTCATAGTCTTCCAATAAGAGCTCAAAAACTGCCTTTTTTTTCGACATTTGTCTTAAGCGAAAAAAACTTTAGGGTATATATTGTCTTATCTTATTGTACAATCCTAGATCTGCCCCTGCTTGGTTTATTTGATTTTTTTTGACTGAATTCTTTTCCAAAAAATTTGAGCATACGAACAAAAGTCAAGACTAATATAATCAACACTAACTTGTAAAATGCTGCGGATTGTCTGCAATCAACTCACTCAACCCCCATTGCAACGTCACTGTTGCATTCACGTTACTATGGCCTCCAATTATGGACAGTCCATTCTGCGCCATACATGTTACTCTATCCGGAATGGCATCATTGGGAAATGCTTTAATTTTCTGCACATATTTATTGCCTGTGTTTCGTCCCCGAGTAATTGGGCTGCTAGTTGATCCTTTGTCGCTTGTGGGGTCGTTCGCTATTTGCTGTTCGACCACGCAGACTAGATTGCTGTCACCTCCCGGCTGAAAATGACAAATGTGGTTTTAATTGAACAGACCTGAAGGTCGGCAAGCAATAGACTCTTCTGTTGTTGGTCTAATATTGTTGCGGGCGGACGTTACTTAACTCAAAACGTGAGTTAGAAATAAATAAAAAGTAAGCGTCGTAACGTTCTTAACATACATCAGAACAGGGGCGGATTTAGGGGGGGAGGGGGCAGACGTCCCCCCCCCCCCCCCCCCCCCCCCACCCCTCAGGGATTCGACCCCCTGCCGACCCAAAGGTTCCCACCTTTGGTACTTTTCAAGAAATCCATTTTTGGTCGACCGACTCTAAAATTTTTCTAAAGGCGCCTTTGGCACCAATATATACTAATTTTGAGGGGGGAGCGCACGCCGAAAAAACGCGAAACGCCAAAAAAATTGGCCAAAACAGGGACTAAACCTACCTTGCTTAGGAAGAGCTCGAAAAATCAATTCGGTCGACCTAAAAAAAGGTCGACAAAATTTTCGACATTTTTTGATGAAAATTCGCCCCCCTCCCCTCGAGAAAATCCTAGATCCGCCCCTGCATCAGAATTAATATCATTAATCGTCCAGAAAATTAGTCTTACATCATTTAACCTTTCCTGGATAAGTAATGGTCATTAAATTTCAATTCAGTTTCTTCTCATTATAAAACTATTGAACTACATTTGTTCAACTAACTCTTCTACCTTAAACTTCCGAAAGCTGAAAAACCTTTTCACGTTGTTATTAAAAAATATACTTACGCCATACAAATTGGGTATATTTTCGAAGGCCAACACGAACGACGTCTGAGGCAGTCCCACGTGGAAAGAAAGCAGCTCCGGGGTCTTCGTAGGGTACCTCACTTGGGGGCAAAACTGCTCACCTTTTTTCACGTCCTCGGCCTCGGCTGTCGAGCTCTGTAAAGGTAATGAAATCTTAAAAAATGCCACTTGAGTTTGAGAATGACAAAAATTTTCTTGCAACATTATCTCAGTTAAATTGTAAGCGCGAGGGGACCCTCATCTCACCATTTTTTGGTTAGCTACAATATCAAGTCAAAGCATAGGTTGGGAGGAGAACACTGCAACCCAATCTCAAATAGATGCTATACGTTCACTCTTTAAGATTTCAAAATTTAAAGACTCTTAAGTTTCCAGATTTTGGATATAAGGCCAGTCAAACTTCACCCAAGTTTGCAACTAGCGAGTCATCCAACGCAATTCAAAGTCATCCCATATAAGCTATGTCATGCCCAAGCATTTAATTCATTAGCTACACTTCATTACTAATGCTTCTTCGCAGAATCGCTACAAAACTCAATTCACATCATCAGTTACCATTTGATAGCAGTCACAATACTTAATCATAACACAAAACTGAACAACAGGACACAAAGCGTCAACAAAATGTAACTGAAGGGGTTAAATTATTAACCAAGCTGCAGGCCAGTAACATGTTATCATTCACTGTTTTGAACCAAACGCTTATAAATTGACACACCGCAATTTGCAAAACTGTTGCAAGGAATATGTCGCAAAAATTCAATCTGGGGGAAACTTTTCATCAATCGACTTGATAAAAAGGGGAAATTTTTTTATCAATCGCCACGGGAAACTATATCAATCGTCTTCAAAATTTGGTCCAAATCAATTAATCACTCTTAGGTATCTGTTTTTAAAAGTGTGAATTATGTTGGTTACAAAGATCGCTGGTTGCTGTGTCGCTGTTAACGAAGGATCGGAACAACCGCCGTCTGACCAATTCATTCATCGCTAATCGACGCCATTCATTCGCTCTAAGTGTACTCAGTTAATCACATTCTTCTATCTTCGAGCTAAGACAGACATTGAGGCGAATGTTAAGCTAAGCAAGTACCCCGTATCTTCCCCGTTGACTGCATTTTAGGCACTTCAGTAGAGTTAAGTTCAGAGCAAGGCATGTAATTGTGGTGTTTTCTAACTGAGACGTTAGGTACGTTCTGCTTAACATTCGCCATCTCGGTTAAATTAAGTATGCCTATCTGGTGCCCCTACCTGTGTCACAGTGTAATGCTGGTGTAGAAAAGAGAGAGACTTGTTCTGAAAAGAAGGTACGTGTTTTATTCAAGATTATTACCTGTCATCCCACGAACTAACACGAACTTTTTGATTGTACTACTCATAACTGGCAAACCGGTGCTGACAAATATGACAGTTTCAGGAGTTCCACCAGAATTGAATATTTTTGGTGATTATAAAAGAGCTTTTTCAAATGCGATACTTGACTAGTCTTTTTTTAGCTTAAATCAATTCGATCACAATCTTTTGTCAAAATTATATTTATCTAGAAAATATGGCAAATGAAATCCATGTATGACCCACAGAACGATCATCTTTCTTATATGAATTCTTCAAATTAACTACGAAAGAATGCAATGTCCTCTTACGTGCGCTCCTATGATGCGCTGATTGACTACACAAGAGTCTGTCATGACAGACAAATCTCCTGCTAGTTGTGAGTTGATACACTTTCCAGAAGACAAACACCAGTCACACTCGAATCGACTGGACGTGCACTCGATACAGCTGAAAAGATTTCTATTCGTATTAAAAACCTAGCCAACTGACAGTTGGAAAAGAGTAATTAACGCAAGGAAACTGAAAAAAAACTTCAATTTTGAATTTCGAAGAAAAAAATAGATGACCTTAAAGCTCTTTGAATTTGTAGAACAATTTATGATTGACACTTTTTGATAAAATAAACCCAATTTGAGAAAACTGGACCAATAGGTAAAACTTTTATTTCGCTGGTAAATCTGATTATTAATTTCCATTTTCGAAATTAGAAGTCGATCACGTTTTTCGTGACCTTTACAATTTTGCCGTTCGATAGTAGAGTTTGCCTTCTTTTTAACAATAGAAATGAACTGAACTTAAAAAGAATTCACAATTCAAACCGCGAAAAATCAAAATTGAGCGTGAACAAACTTAAGAACTTTTCCTGAAAAAAAAAACAAAAAAAATCACCAAGATCTAAATAAGATTACTCACTACCTTCATTGCTCAAAAAACATCTTAAGTTCATCATCCTGAGTTCCCCATAAATATGACTCGATAACTTTGAGAACATAGCCGACATACAGTTCGAAAATTGTCGGCGATCTAAAAAAAATTGGCAAAAAACGATAAGATTCACAACAATACTAACTTAGAGAGTGCAGCACAGTCGTAGAACTGGATCTGTTTGGAAGTTAAGTTGAGAAACTGGCCCCCTATCTCCGTCACTATGCTCAAAGTCACTGTTATGAAGGCTAAAACAGAACAGAACAATAAACTTCATGTGAACTAATTGCACCCAAAGAAGCACTATGTCCACTAAATCATCAAAATTAAACTTCTGTCCAGAAATTATAGCACTGTTCAGACTGGGGGCCATTTGATTTTTATCACTAAGTCATGAAATTTTCATTAGAGGAATATGACTTAAACTTAATGTCAGAAAAGCTACATAAGGGACAGAAAAACTAAACCTGGAGCCGTTAACTTCCGTCGATAACTATCTAGATCCCTATATCCGTTCAAAAGTCAAGAAGCTAAGAACTCCGACAAAATAAATCAAATATTTTAATTAAATTCAACCAGAAGTTTGTTAATCACACAGCTGGCGACAGACAACCTCTATTGTTCCAGTAATCCGTCGCTTTTGAAATTCACAGCATAGGATTTGGTTCACAAGTTGGAACTCAATCCCACATGGCGACTGTGATAACACTTCAACTCAAGCCTGAACACACCATACCAGCCACGTGACCAAATCTTCAACCGCGGTATAAAGCAATCAATAGCACAGCACATTTATTTACCCTGGCGAAAAACCTACTGGGAGTATTGTTTTGAGAAATTTTTATACGCCAGAAGGGTTGGAAATATATCCATTTGAGCAAACAAACCCTATGTGCGAATCTATTTATATTTTAATCAAGACAAGGCGCAAGGCGGTAATGTAAAGTTACAATTTTTCTGTTCAGTCTAGATCAATTATTCCATTTCATGTCCGGATCACTTTGAGTGAATCTTCAGCTTGATTAATTTCATGAGAAAATGCTCTGAGAACCATAAACAGTTCGTAGATTAGGAAAACTAAAAAGAATAATCATGAAAATGGAATCGATGGACAGTTTCCTATCCCACTTGTTAATCATCAAATGAAAGTCGGATCTAATCCAAAAGAACAATTGACAACATAACACGGAATTTGTCCTTCACTTTGAATTTTTACTTACGAACAAGCTTGAAAATTGCCAACGCCAACACAAAAAAAAACATCAGCATGACTTTTCATCAAAAGCAAGCAACCTAAATAAGAGATCGATCGATAACTTATTTCAATAACACAATCACGCGGAGAGTAGTTTGAAAAATTGATTATTTTTGAAATTGATTATTTTTGGAGTTCGAATCACGATTGGAGAGGCTTTAATATAGTACCAAACTCGATAACACACTAGCTTGCAGGATCTTCTTAACATTTTACCCCCTTTCAAGAAGGGGGACTGGAGAGATGGTTAGGCAGATTAAATCTACAAACTTTCGACCAAACAGAATATAGCAAAACTAAAATGTATCTAAACTAACATGATTATGTTATGACTATTCAAAAAAAACTAGCGGGCACAAAATCCATCCCAAAAAATGGATTTAGCATAGCAACTAAACCTAGCCAGCATCTAAGTGAGAATGTGTTAGCTAAAGGAAACTACTAAATTTACTCATCTTATTGAACATTTATCAACTTTCGACTTTCATAGAGAAAAACGAACACTTAAATTTACTTCACAAATTCAAAAACTTAACCAGCAAAAAAAATCTTTGAATTCGTAAAAGCTATTCAAAACAGAGCCAACAAACAGTTGGAAAAGAGTCATGAACGCAAGGAAACAGAAAAAAACTTTGACTTGTTTAGGAAAAATCTGACCTTAAAGCTCTTCGAATTTAAAGGAAAACTAAAACTTTGACTTGTTTGGGAGAAATCTGACCTTAAAGCTCTTCGAATATAAAAGAAAACTAATGATAGCCAATTTTTTGATAAAAATAACCCAATGAATAAAACGGAATCAAAACGTAAAATTTTATTACGCTGTGAAAGCTGAAAATTAAAATCCACTTTCGAAACTAGAAGTCGATCACGTTTTTCGTGACCTTTACACTTTTGCTGTTCGATAGTGGAGTTCCCTTTCCTTTTTAAAAAAGGAAATTAACTGAAGTTAAAAAGAAATGAATAGTCAAACGGCGAAAAAATAAGACTTTTTCCTGAACAAAACAAACGAAGAAAAAATAACCAAGACTTATAAAAAGAGTTTTCACAACGATCATTACTCTTAAAATCTGAACATAAAAACTAAACCAACATGATGCAAAAAAATGTTTTTTCATTCTGCTCGAAAGTCAACTTAAATCTACTTTGAAACAAAAAATTTGCAGCGAATTTCGGTATTTCAATTTTAAAAGTGGAGAGCGTATAAACGTATTTTAAATTGGAGAGCGAGAGCGTACCATACAAATATGAAAAAAATACAAACTAAGAATTAGGGTTTTAAAAAATTACACTAATGTGAAAAATTTTATATTTATTTGTTAGCAGGAAAATATACGTTCCCGGATTAAAAATATTACTCTCACAAAATTAGCAAACACTTGGAAATTTCTGTAACCATTTGATTTTTCCATTAATATGCAAAACCAAAAACAACCTTATTTGCATTAATTTAAAGACGTGTTGTACGTCTTGTTTTGACAGCACTGTTTAGTTCACAAATGAAAATTGCGTCATCGAAAATCGGGCATTTCGCAAGTGATACGCAACATGCAGCAATTAAAATAACTCAGCGTGTAACGGGGTTAAGGTACGCTATCGTCATTTCACAGATATTAATTTTTCATACCACTGACTGAAGCTGGGGTTAACTAACCCCCGAGGAGGGGAAAGGGAGGGATTTAGATGACTCTAAACCCGGCTATCCATCTGTCAAAACGTCCACCAGAATCAATACTCCCAGTGCATTAGCTTGATTACTCGCGCAACAGTGCTAGTCAGCCTATTTCATTCCAGTCCAACTTTTGGCAAAAAAAAACATAAAACTAGGAATTTTATAAGAAAAATTGAGAAATGAAATTTTTCCGCTTGGGCTCTCACTATAATAATATCCTTCCTTAGAATTCCAATAATTCCATTAAATTTTCACTTCCATCTCATCCCCCAGCAGCACAGGAATAGTCAGCCTGTTTTATACTTCAGCCAAAATATTACAATAGGACGTATAGAAAGGACGTATGCGTATCTAACTTCATCATGTGTGTGTATACATGAGACCGTTTCTGTCTGTCCGTCTGCTTGTTGAAAACCGTCCAGAAGACAGGTGATTTTTTGATTGGCGGCAACAGAGACGATATTTATTTGTTTTTTCATACTTATCTACTTTTCAGACGTCTTTCTTTGCTTCATTACGCATAAAACCACAAAATAATATTGCCAAAAATTATTATATAGCTGAGGTTTTTACTTCAAAATGTATTCTTAAAACAACACTTTGAAATGAAAGAAATCAAGCGATTATAAAACTGTGAATACATCTAAAAATAATTTATCTAAAAACATACCCTTATATGGACAAGAAATTGATATAATTATGATCCACAAACTCATACAAGCTAAGAATCAGATAAAATATTTTTATACACAAACGAGCATTTCTGACTGAGCACAACAACACAACACTCAAAGTTAACCCCACGGCAATTTTTGTGCATTTTCTCAAAATTAGTCACATGTTATTGAACGAAAAGTCATTTTTCCAAAGCAAACAGCTTTCAGTTGAAATTGGATGTCTTTAAAAGTAGAAGAGCCTCAGACTGGAAGCTAAAAACCATATGTGAAATGCATCAAAATTGAAATAAGTAGACTTAACCTCCCGAATAACATTGCCTGGTGAATAAAGTAACAATAAGAAAGACTGGACAAACCTTGTCCTGATGGTTCCTCTTTCAAAAAGTTGGATGCCATCGGCACACTACATGACCCCCTCTCGCTGGACCCCAACTCCAGATTGAACCTGGTCCGGTCTCTACCTCCGAAGTCCTCGCCCCCTCCGAACGTGCAAAAGTAGATCATGCCTCGCTCCTCGCCCTCGGGACGGGGCAGTTTAGTCACAGTGAGGCTGATCTAAACGAAACACCGAATTTGATCATTCAAGGCTCAAGTATTGAGCCTTATAAGGCGTCATTTGATCCCAGTTATCAACAAAACAAAATTTTGCAGATCGAAGCATCAACTAAAGGCAATTAGCAGGTTCCTATTTTCCTACAAAAAATAGAATTATATAGATGATACTTATTGAAACGCATAATTCATTCTCATATGCAAAGTTTTCTAGCATTTGTCAAGGGCGGTGAAGGGAAATAAATAAACCTCCCTGTTTCGTCAAAACTTGTTATGTTGGATACTTAATAATGAGTTCAATATGTGATGATATTGAAATCAAGGCAAAAACATGAAGGTGATACTGAACAAAAGAATACAAATTTTCTTAATCAATAATTTTCTTACTTTTTAATTAATAAATGCAAATACAAAGATCAAACAACACGTAACGGCTACCCAATTTTTTCTCCTATTTTTCCTTTCATTAAATAAACAATGAGCTGCACCAATTCCAAATAGAACTTGAGTTTTAATTGTAATTTACATTGTTGTTCATTTGAAACTAAATGTTGTTTCAAACCTCTTCAACTCGAAATCTAAAAAAGTAAGCTTTAGTTTAAATTATACCGCTTAGACCAACCTTTCAACGTAATTTAATCTTTCACCATCGTACGAAAAACTCTGGACTTGATTGGGAAGATTGATTAAAGACAATGGAAAGCGAACAATGAAAGATGTCCTAGCCGCAGATTTAAACTAAAACCAAATGAATAAATTTAGGCGTCAACTATGAAGCTCCCGATAACAGTGCAGTGTCGGCGGGAAACATAACTTCCAATAAATTGTATTGATCCCTTTATTTCAAACAATCATCTACCGTTGCTAAATTTTTGTGCATGAACAAGCAGTAAATGGCATACATGACACAGAGGCGAAGCAGAGCTTCGCACCACTTGCGATACATAACTACATGCCGAAGTTCGAGAGATTATCTGACTCTTATGAAAAAAGAAATAATCAAATGAATCATGAAGAAATAGTCGGCAAACTAGGGAAAATTTTGCAATTCTCATAGAACTCAATGACCAAAAACAGAGGATTCAGGTTACGCAAACTCCATTCATTTCTCTCCGATAATTATTAGATGGTAAAGATACAAAAAAATAAGGTTTCGGTCCAAAAATCATGATCCAAGAAATCTAAAAATCACCACGAAACTTCTCTAAAAATCTTGGAACCAAACAAACTGCATGACCATCAAGAACGAATGTATAAAAAGGCACTTTCGATTGCTTGCTAAAAACAAAGATCAAAATGAACGAAAAAAATTAAACATTGAAATTTCAGACACTTTGAAAAGAGCCAATAAACGCAACTTTCCAATTTCAAAGAAAAAATAGATGGCCTTAAAGCTCTTTGAATTTTTAGAGCAATTTTTGATTGAACTTTTTTGATAAAAATTACTCCAATTTGAGAAAACTGGATATATAGATAAAAAATTTATTTCGCTGGGACTATCGATAATAAAATTCCACGTTCGAAATTAGAAGTCGATCACGTGTTTCGTGACCTTTATACTTTCGCTGTTCGCTAGTAGAGTTTGCCTTCCTTTTTACAAAGAAAAAAAATGAACTGAAAAATAAACAAAAGTCAAACCGCGAAAAAAAAGTTTTTAGCCTGAACAAACTTTAAGACTTTTCCTGAAAAAAAACACAAAATCATCGCGACCTATATAAGAGTCTGAACTAGGTTCATCAACGCTTAAAAAATATTACAAAAAATAATTTGCACAAAAATAGAACGAACTTTAAGCAACGGAAAGGTAGCTCGACAACAACAAAGTAAAGACGCCCGTTAGCGAAAAAAAAACACATAAAGACGCCCGTTAGCGAAAAAAAATCTTAACTATCGAGCAAAACATGCTAAAAACCTTCGTAGACAAAACAAACAAGTCAAAAATTAAAAGCAAAGTTTTCCGGAAATTTATTTCAGAAATTTTATTTTCGACTAATTTAGAAAAATTTTTAACGTTCGAACAAAACGCAAATAAGCTAGGCCGACAAAAACTGGGCCAAAATCAATTAGGCCTACAAGAACAATTTTACCCCAGTAGATCCAATAATGCATAGGCACAGTAACTAGAGGTGTTAAAAGTGCAATATGCTGAGAATCGAGACCTTGACATTGGAGATCCAGTGATCAAAAATGTTTACGCGAAAAAAGTCTAGTACCCGATTGCAATACCCTTGCATATCGCAAGGGTTAACATGTCAGTTAATATCTCAATGTCATTGAGGTTAATTTATGAGTTAGGCCAAGTCAATCAATTCTAGATCAGTTCAGTTGAGTAGTGAAAGTGAAAAATAATTGTTCAAATAAGCTATTAGCAGAGTAATGTAGGATAGTCGAGGACAGTCAGACAGGAACAATATTCGATGGTGGCTATGATCAAGACAGAAGGCTCGAATGGCAAAAAACTCGTTTCACTTACCCATCTTACATTAAACTTAAACTTTGAAACACAGCCAACATACAGTTGAAAAAATTACAACGAACTCTAAAAAATAGAAACAACTAGCAGTTATTTTTAGAGCATTTTCAAAGAAAAGATATATGGCCCTAAAGCCAGGGATGGTCATTAAAGATGACCTTATTAAGTCAACATGATGCTTTCTTTGAGGTTGTCTTAAAAATTGTTCCTCCTCTAAAGCAATAAATGTTCCAAAATACATTTCGGTACATGTTGAATTTAGTAAGTTTGAAAATAAAAATTTAGTAGTAAGTTTGAAAGAACAAAATAACTCAATTAAATTATCAATGGGCTTACCATAAATCGCTGTCTACCCAGAAATTAAGTTATACGACAAAAAAAGTTGCACCCTACTTTGATAGAGTCAATAAATGTCTTGCAGTCTGTAAAACAATGAATTTTGTTTGAAAATTCTTTCGGCATTAATTGGCTGAGAATTCCGCCGTAAAACATCTTGATTTATCCTCACCTTTCCTTTATTATCTTAATGTCAAGTTCCTTGATTGTAATCAACCTTACCTTAACGAGCAAACATGCTGAAAGCTCTTTCAATTCATAAATTCAAAACTTTTTTTGATAAAATAATCCAGTCACGTTTGAGAAAACTGGATCAATAGGTAACAATTTGCCCGCTGGTAAATCTAAAACTTCAAATCCATTTCTGAAAAAAAGCGTCAATCACGTTTATTTACACCATTAGCGCTTTCCTAGAAGGTAATTTACTTTCGATGCAGGAATTGAATTTGAATGAAACAAAACCAAACCGCCAAAAATCAAATTTGAGCGTGTCTGGATTTCGTTCATTGCCACTTTAAACTTTTTTGCGTCATAATCTAAAAAACACTGCATAGTGAACAAATGAACTACTTCGAAAACACTTGTTTTCTGCACTTTATAAGAATCACTTGTTTTTTGTACATTATAACAGAAGAAATCAAGCATTTAGCCATAAAAGCATACACAAGCATAGAAATTTTTTTCAAAATCGACGTTTGGTGGGGGGTCGGAACGAATTTTTCTTGCAATACAAATCTTTCGATATTCAAAACTCTGACATGCATTTTCTAGATTGTTGAATTGATTGGTTAGTTTAACTTTCTGACATTCGAGCCTTCCGCCATGATACATTATGTCGAATAAGTGTATTAAGTGGTTTGTTTTGGTTGGTTTGCAACTTACCGTCCGATGGTCAGTCTAGACAGGAAGAAATAAACAGACAGTTCAATTCAGTTCAGTCAAGTTGTAGTTCAAAATATTACACACCGGTTATATATAACAATTTTGCTGGAAACAGTTACACAAACATCAGATTTGAGCAGGTTTTATTACAATTTACCTTGAGAGTTTCAGAGTTTCATAAAAATTATTCAGAAAAACAAACAATTTACACTCATGAAAGGTTAAACGCTGAATTGTAATAGAAAAAAAACCTGATTTGGGATGTTAAACCACGCGTTAACAGATATCAGATTGAAAACTTTTTCCCCCTTCAACCATTTCATGAAAAATGAATAGATTCAAAGCGAATAATGAAGCAGCCATAGATATAGTTTGAGAAACACAATCACAGTTTGGGACAACATTTTTCACATCAAAATCAAAAGTTTGTAATGACGCATTTCAAGTACAATTGGAACTTACACCAAAAGATACACATTTTCTCAAGTAGTTTCGCGAATATACTGAGTCAGTCGAATTGGTATTGAAAAACCTTAAGGAGATAATCGAGTTTACGCTGATTTAACTAATCGAGTTTACGCTGATTTGGCGTAGACTAAACAAAAAGTATCCAAGTTTTTGGATAAATCGCTTCACTTTTCCAGTATGGGGATAAGGGACAGTTAGAGATTCACTATTTGGTATTGTTTTTATTAATAACTTGCGTAATGTTCAATGTGAACTGTGTAACTCAGGTATAACTTGTTAAACTTGTGTAATGTGAAATGAACAACTAACTGGTTCAGTGTAGTGCATGGACACCATCTGGGGAGTGACCTCTTTAATCGCAATGCACTTGTCTTCATATCTGATCCACGCATTCTCATCACCCCTCCTTAGAGACTCACAGTCCCTCTGGTCAGTGCACTTGTTCTGCAGAGTGCACCAGCCACAGTATGGACCTCCAGAGGACACGCAGGAGCCACATGTGGAGTGGGATAGGCAGTCGTGGATCGGCATCTTCGCCAGCTGAATAAACAAGACAATTTAGTTTGAAATAATTAACACGAGAATTGCCGGTTGCTCGAAAATCAGCTCAGAAGGTTCCCACCAAAGTTAATTTCAATTTTTTCTTCAATTGTTTTGAACTTGTGTCCTTCTTTTGTGCAAGGGATGAAAAATTAGCTTTATCTTAGAACAAAATACTAATGGCTTTATTAAAAGAATGAGTAACTCTTCGCTATAAACTAGCCCAAAAAGCAAGAAAATCAAATCGATTTTTTCTCAATCGATTTTTCTCAACACTCAACAGTTTGGAAAAATTTAAATATCAATTAAAAGGACTTTAATAGGATATATCACTCTAGTTCACTTGACGTTTATTTGTGCTAGCTGATTTTGCACGACAAAAATGCCCGACTGAAAAGTTCCTCCCACTTTCAGAGTTAGGTACAAAAACAACTGAAGGATTAGGTCGACCACAATTTTCTGTAATTGAGCTGTAAACCAAAAAACAGAGGCGAAGCTGAGCTTTGCACCACTTGCGATACAACAGGTATAGGATTAAAACAGCAGAATAGTCCAGAACTATCAGAGTTGAAGAATGAACAAAAAAATTATAAATCTAAATTTCTTTTTGTTTCAAAAGAGTTCCGAATGGAGTTGAAATTGAGCATTCTTAAATTCAATTTAAAGGCCAAAGTTTTATCAATCTCAGAAATATTACCAAAATTTGTTGGAAAAAATATGAAGTAAATAGGCAGAAGTAAAGCCGATAGCTTATCAGCTGAAAAGCAAACAAAGTTGTTCGGGAAAATCTTATTGGAAAACATCCATGTACTACCTAAGTAGTAGCCACGAAAACCATATAAGTACTGAATGTAGTAAAGTGTTAAACAGAAATCAGAAACCAAACCTAGAGCTTTATTGACAACCATAAAACCGAAAACATTCAACAACAAAAAGTGTTATCGATATTTTACAACTATATATACAATTAGATCTATCAAAATAAATGAAGGCAGTGTTGAAAAAATCATGCCCAGACCATAGAATGCAAACTTTGCATCTTAAGTAAAACGTTCCAAACTGTAAAAAAAAATCGAAAATACCTGAGCATAAGCCCTTCACGCCGAAAAAAATTCAAACACTCTAAGCAATTTAAAAATGTCCCTCTTCCCCTCAGAACACACATGCACAGAAAAATTTTTTTTAGTCATCGAATGCCGTAATAGGAGGCAACTTAGTCGATATAAAAAAAGTCGAAATCGATAAAGCCGAAAAAAAAACAAATTAAAAAAAAAACAATTCGAGTTGGTAAAATTATAACCAATGTACAAATCAAATTTCGATTCGGCCGGATTTTCTAAATGCTGATGCACTAAAAAACTACCATGAAAATCCTTTACAGCGAAAATAAACGAATCTAAGTTGTGACACCTGAGCTGACAAAACAAAAGTAGACAAATATTAGGTCGACTATTTTCCTTGAAACAGAAGATCTCCTGTTTGAAAGAAAAACAGGTCCTGGTCGGAGACACTAAAAAAACATGATGAAGCAAGGTACCACCAGGAATCCAGATGCGTATGAACATAAATGAACAATCTATGAACATGAAGCCATTTTTATTTCTAGGGAAAAGGTTTAATTTTTGTAAATTCATGAAAAAGTTAAATCAACTGAAAATCGCACGGCATCAAATGTTTTAAAGTCTAAAAACGACGGCGAAATAGCCGCTCTATCTATTCAGCGTACGTTGCTCGTATGAAAAAAAACTTCGCGTATTCCAGTTTCCAAGTTACGTCCATTCCTAATGTCCCTTCCTTTCCTGTCTCATCATCAAAAAAACCGTAGTTATATTTGATCTATATCATATGACACAAAAATTACGATACTAATGATACCATCAAAGCTTTTTCACTAGAGATATCAGAATACAGGATTGAAAATGTAATTTGACCATTCCGTTCGAAGTGTATAACACCATATTATTCCGAACCAGAGCTGGGTAAATTACCAAGTCCCTCAATATACTTTTATTGCATCAAGTTTTAAACCCAATTAATTTAGGATAAACTTACTTGTTTTTAATAAATCTTCAGTTTTTTGTTCAAGCATTATTGTTAGCATTATTGCATTCTTCTTTATAACTGGTATCATTAAAACACACAAAAATTGAGAATTGGTCTCAACATCACAGCGCAATTGTTCTGTGATGTAGAGATCTTCTTCTTCTTGCCTCTCTACCTTAGGGCTCGCATTCGCAGGCCAGCCTGTTTTACAATCAACCCCCCTCCCCCGCTCCCTCCCACCTCCACTCTCCATAAAGGCCGGCTCACGATATACATTCGATATACATCACTCACGTTGAATTTTGCATCATTTATACATCGAACTGATATAAACTATTGAAAACAGCTTAATCCTTTTTTCCATTTCTAGCTGGTTTGATTTATACCACAAATAGCTCGTTTATCTATCGGCGACTGGTTAACTAATCACTCTTCCTTTTAGTTCTGTTATTCATGATGCAGACTTTGGGGCTCCCTCCAGCGGCTGCACATGATAAGGGCAGGGTGAATGAACAGTCTCTCAGAGGGGTGGAAAGAAAAAAGGTCAATGGAGGGAAAGGACAATTTATTTTGGGCGCATTTAACAATGCAACTTACCAATTCTTCCTGTTCGCAACTTAAATATTAAAAACCACTCTTTTCTAAATCAGTGCCTAAGTTTTTCTTTGCAACTATCTTGAAAGTATCCGATAAACATCAAGTTATTGAGTAAGTGGACCGATACATCTTGCTTTTATGTACTATTTGTAATGAGATGAGAATTTTGGTAGCTGCGGGATCGATTTTCTAATTTATGGGCTATGAACGGGAATCCATTAGGCTAGTACTATTGGTATCTGAACAACGGGGGTTTTCCTGGAGGGAATGGGCCATTAATGCCTCAGCTACAATCTCCGAAACCATTTTTCAACACAGCAGTTCACGCCCCATTAAGTGTGTTGTGTTGTATGGCTTGATAGCGGGCAAGACAATTACAAGATAGGTCTCCCGGAAAGAAAAACTCTGTGCACTAAATTTCAATTTTTCAAATTCTAAGATCCAATTCTATCAATTGCCTCTAACCAAAAGGTAGTAAAATCTTTAACAAAAAAAAATAATTAAAAAGGAGGCGGAACCTCAACTTGAAAAAGTTAGACAGCAATCAATCGCTTTCAACAACACTCAACTTGGACTAAAATTATGTTATAAAAAAGCGAACCCACGCAGATCTTAGCTCACTGCATGAAATTTTACCTAAACTGTTATTAGGACTGACAGAAATCAAATCGAATTTTTCATTTTTTTAAAGAATTTAGTATCACAAAACATGTAAATTCAAAACTGTGCTTTAATATTCGATTCTGTACAAACATGAAATCAGACTGAAGCATTCTCAAAATCTAGCGCTCGCATTTCAGGATAAAGGGGCGTATATTTAATATCCGTTCGCTTAGTGAAGCTATTCGAGCCATCAGTGCTACTATTTGCGAAATGTATATAACTCAGCGACATACGGTATACTTTGTGTCAACCTGGAATGAAAATAAAAAACTATATTCTTAAAGCGGTTAAAGCTATTTTATCATCTTTTCTTTTGCCTTATTTTGAAATACTAACAAGTTTACAGGAAAAGACTTACCAAAAAACAATTCCATTGTCATCTGGCTGCTTGCTTTTACTCTATATAAGGAAGCGAAACAAGAACACCACGAAAGCACAAGAGATTTCTGATATTGACGGCTTTTCAATTAACGCTTCAAATCTACTCGGCACAACAGTTTTGAGATCTAACTTCTGATTAACAAAAAACATTTTCAATAAAGTGTATATGGCGGCAATCGCCAAAAATAGACGAAGTTAAAATTACGGAAGATGGATCCATACAAACCGATACCCAGAACAAATTTTAGAAGTAAATGCGGTCCCCTATCTGTAAAAATGAAGCAAACAAAAACCTAAATCACCCTCTCTCGAAACCAGTTGCGTGCGCAGAAATTTTTTTAGGGAGGGGCGGTTTTTCGAAAAAAACTGCGGATCCTTTTTTTTAGGTCAACCAATTCGATTTTCGGAGCTTTCGGAAAATAATATAAGGCCCCTATTTTGTCGACAATATCTGCGCCCCCGGCAAATTTTTCTACAAACACGCCAAAAACGGCGTTTTTGGGCACTTTTGACCAAAAAATTGCGCTTTTTCCGCGCGCGCTCCCCCCTCAATATCAGTTGCTTCGAATTTAAACAGCAATTATTTTCAAATAACGAACACGCTCAACTTCGGCTCAACTTTAAAATAATGAATTGGATATAGCTCTTCATTCACTTATTTGTCTACAATAAAACGGTAAATTAAGGTTTCATTGGAAGCGGTTTAGTTTGAAGTACTATAGGAGCATCCGGTCTAGTTGACAATTCCCTCGTGACTTGCAGCACAACTGTCATAATTACCGCCAGAACAAAGAGATTGACATCTGTCACGTTTTACAAAAATCTTTTAAGAAGTTACCAGAGACAACTTGATTCCCTTTTCCTTTTTTATTTTTTACATGACATTTTTCTTCAAATTTTATCTAAAAAAATTTTCAACACCATTTAGATGAGATACATGTTGGCTGCCGTTTCTTTCAAGACCGCAATGAAAATTTATTGCTGAATTAATCTTCAATTGAAATATAAAGCCAGATTGCGGCTGGTAGATGCTACGGTAATATATGCAACCGGAGTGCTTCTAGCTCTGGGGAATTTTGGCTTTTTGGGCTTCAAATGGAGGAACAATGGTAGCAATTGGGGGACATAAATTTAAATCGGGCTTATCTGCATCAAATCACGCGTGATCAGACCACTGCCTTTGAACGCCTTGAGGGCTTTTCATTTTCACCCCTGTGATAAAACACCACCCTAACACACGTTTTATCGATAGAAAAATTGATGTGAAAAAAAAGCTCTTTTTTCATTTTCAATTTGACGAGGTATATATTATGCTT